ATTTAGCTGAGGCAAGTTTTCCTAAACTGACTGATGATCAGAAATATGAAATTAATGGTTTAATTACTAAGGAGGAAATTACCTCAGCAATCCAACAATTGAAATTAGGGAAAGCACCGGGTACGGATGGGTTAACAGCTGTTTATTACAAAGTTCTAATAGAGGAGATGATCCAACCATTACATGATCTTTTTAATGGTATTTTACAGGTTTTAGAGATTCCTCCTTCATGGCGTAGTGCTTTTATATCATTGATTCCAAAGGAGGATCAAGATCTTACCCTACCAAAAAATTACAGGCCTATATCTCTTTTAAATGTGGATTATAAGATAGTTGTAAAAATTTTGGTAAATAGGCTTATGAGGGTGGTGCATCATCTTGTGCATAAAGATCAATCAGGATTTATTACAGGAAGGTATATGAAAAATAATGTCAGACAAATTATTAATTTACTAGAATATTTAGACAAGAACAACCAAGTTCCTGCAGGGCTCATATTTTTAGATGCTGAAAAAGCATTTGATCAATTGAATTGGCATTTTATGTTAATAGTAATGGAAGAAATGAATTTTGGTGAAAAGATATTACAAGCCCTTACGGTAATATATCAAAAACAAACGGCACAACTTATTGTTAATGGAGGTTTGTCGGAGGTTTTTACAATAGAGAAAGGTACTAGACAGGGGTGTCCTTTATCGCCAGTGTTGTTTGTTTTAACATTGGAAATATTATTGATCAAAATTCGAGAGTCTCAGGAAATTAAAGGAATATATGTTAATAAAAAAGAATATAAGTTGAGAGCTTTTGCGGATGACTTGGTTGTTACTTTGTCGCAACCTGATTATTCTGTATTAAACTTATTACAGTTGATTCATCATTATGGTTTGGTCTCGGGTTTTAAGATTAACGTAAATAAGACTAAAATTTTACCTAAAAATATGTCGAGTCAGGAGAAGCAGATTTTGGTCAACTTGACGGGTTTTGAGATTGTTAATAAGGTAAAATATTTGGGGGTGATGATGTCTGTTTCTAATGCAAAATTATTTAAAAATAATTATGAAAGGTTGTGGGTCAGGGTACAGAAGGACTTGAAGAATTGGGAAAAGTTGCAATTATCCCTCATGGGAAGAATTGCAGTGATAAAAATGAATATTATACCCAAGTTTCTTTTTTTGTTTCAAATGTTACCAATTTTGAAAAATGAGATTAATTTAAATGAGTGGCAGAAGGGTCTCAACAAAATTATTTGGGCAGGGAAAAAACCAAGGGTTAAGTTTAAAATTATGCAAGACTTCCGTGAGAGGGGTGGACTTAAGGTACCAAATTTGAAATTATATTATGATGCGGTGGTTTTAACATTAATTAGTGATTGGGTAAATTTGACAAATTCTGAGATACTTTACTTAGAGGGATGGGACTTACTTTATGGGTGGCATGCCTATTTAATATTTAATAAAAAAATAGATTGGGCTTTTAAATCTCATATTTTAAGAATTTTTTTACTTAGGATTTGGAGAAAATATTATAAAAGTGATTTTAAAGTACCATTATGGGCTATACCCTGGCACGCGATAGAAGGAATAAAAAGAGGGGTTAAAATGGATATGGTGTCTTATAGACAATTACTTAAATGGGATGGACAAAACTGGCAATTAAAATCACGGGAAGAGTTAGCACAAGAAAATTTTATTTATTCTTGGTTCCAATATAGGCAACTATTAGATAGAGGGAAGATGGATTGTAAGGTGGGTTTTCTTAGAGAAGATGAAAATCTTATTAAGCAATTGAAGGATCAAAGACAAACCCACATTAAGAGAATTTATGGGGTTTTAGTTGAATTTGACTCAGAAACGGAACTAATTAAAGATTGTATGATTAGATGGGCGCAGAATTTTGGTGAGCCAGTTTCATTGGACACCTGGGAAATTATTTGGGTGAGAAATGTCAAATTTACTCAAGCACAGAACTTAAGGGAGAATTTTTATAAAATGTTTTATAGATGGCACCTTGATCCACAAAAAATGTCTTATATGTATCCTGACGTGCAAACCAAATGTTGGAGATGTGGTTATAAGGAGGCTTCCTATTATCATATTTGGTGGTCATGCAGAGAGATAAAAGCATTTTGGATTAAAATATGGTGGAATATCCAGAGAATTTTTAGAAGGAGGGTAAAATTTACTCCGCAAGTATTTTTGTTAGGTATTGTTACAGATTGTGATACAAAGGAGGTTGTATTGATGTTAAACTTGATCACAGCCGCTAGGCTGTTAGTAGGACAATACTGGAAGAAGGAATCTTTGCCTACATTGCAGGAATGGTTTCTTAAAGTAGCTTATCTGGCGGAAATGGCAAAGATTTCGGCTTTCTTAAAGCAACAAACGCAAGAGAAGTTTTTCGCTGTTTGGGATAAATGGATAAAATTTATACAATTTAGATTGGGTATACAAAAATATTATATAGTTTTTTCATAAGTTTTATTTTCATATATATTATAGATAATTTTTTATATATATAAATATAAAGTTTTTAATTTAATTTTTATTTTTATTTTTTAAGCCTATATTCTGCTCTGGGAAGCTCAGGGGGGGGGGAAGGGAGGGTTTTTGTTTTTTTTTTTGTTTTTTTTTTTGGGAGGGCTGGGGGATGGGGTTTTTTTTTTATTTAATATATGTATTGTTTAGTTTTATTTTTCTGTATATGTTGCCTCTTGTTTTGTATTATTTTTCCTTTTTTGTAAAATTTATAAAACTTTCAATAAAAAAAAAAAAAGCCTCCAGTGATGAAGTACCCACAATTTCTGAAGGCAAGCCATTCCACTGGTTGATTGTTCTCACCATTAGGAAATTTCTACTTAGTTCTAGGTTGCTTCTCTCCTTGATTAATTTCAATCCATTGCTTCTTATATTGCCTTCTGGTGCTTTGGAAAACAGGTTGACCCCCTCTTCTCTGTGGCAGCCCCTCAAATATTGGAACATTATCATGTCACCCCCTACTCCTTTTCTTCACTAGACTAGACATACCCAATTCCTGCAACCCTTCTTCATATGTTTTAGCCTTTAGCCCCCTAATCCTCTTTGTTCTTTTCTGAACTTTTTCCAGAGTCTCATCTTTTTTATAATGTAGTGACCAAAATTAGATGCAGTATTCAAACTATGGTCTTACTAAGGCTTTATAAAGTGGTACTAATACTTCACGTGATCTTGATTCTATGTAACCTAGGATTGCATCATTTTTTTAAGGCAACAAAACCTAACAGATTTTACACACCTTGAGGCTGCCTTTGGATGGTGTTGGAATAAGGGGAGAAAAACTACTTTAGCCCAATGGATGACCCAAGCCTGTCTCACTCAACAGGCTCGGGATAAGGCGAAGGCAATGTCATGCAGACGCAATAGAAAAGAAGATACTTTGTCACAGCATCTTTGTGTCATTGTTAGGTGAAATGGAGAAGGCCTTCAAGCATTTTGTATCTTCCATCTTTCTTTTCATTCCATGAAAAAAATAGCTGTATGATGTTACTTCAATTAGTAAGTGTTAGAACCTCTGTACCAACTTTGCAACACCCAGATCTCAAATTTTGATGATACACCTGACTGAGTTTGAAACCCCTAAGGTAGCCCATATTATATCCCATTTATTGTTGGTATTCAGCAGTAACTTCCTCGTAGCAATTCAACGACTCTTTTGGTTGAGTGAGTTACTCCTCTACCAGTTCATTTTTCTGTTCCCAAAGACTAGTCAGGACAAATGGCTTGTGCTGCTAAGAAGATTCTGGGGAGGCAGTGCTCCCATTCTGGCTGGGCAAGGAGAGAAAGATGTCATTATGAGCACTAAATATTTGGAGCAAAATATGAGAAACCCTTAAAGTTGGCAAAGATTCTCTCTTCTTCTTTCACATCATCAAAAAGCAACCCCTTTGAGATGATAGCCAGCAAATAGGCCACCTTGAGCTGGGAAGCAATCAAGCTGAAGTTGTCTTAACAGACCATTTATTATGCTCAGGGGAAAAGTGGATGTGAATAAATCAATAACACAGAGCAGTGTCTAAAAGTAAAATGTGAATCCCACACAAATGGCAGCAGTACTGGTTCCCTGCCCCACCCCCACCCCTGATCTATTATTCTCAGCTGGGTGAACTGTTGTGCAAATCAGAAGCTTGTGTTATGCTGCTGGCTATGCAACTTGAAGCAGACTGGCTTTTCCAGTTTCCTCTGGTCGGCTGAGAAGAAAGCGGTGGCTGAGACGTGGCAGTAGTGCTGCTGTTACTAGAGGGTTTTTTCTTCTTCTTCTTGCTATAGCGAGGAAGAAGGCAGTAGCAGATTCCAGACTGAAGCGATCTCAGGTTACAGAAGAAACATGGAAAACAATATTTGGAGGGTTCAGGATGGCTACATTAAGGCTTTTATAAAAAAAAAGAATGCGCTCTGGTACCCAAGTGCCAAAGGCAAAAAAACCAAAACCAATGAGATGTGTAATGCTTTATGGAAAGTTCTGAGAAGGATGATTTGGGAAAGGATTATTAGGTAAAGTCCAAGTCCTCTCTCTCCCATTTATTTCTTCCCTCAGGTAAGAACTGTTCTATAGATGAATGAAGCAGAATCACTAATAGGTGCCAGAATGAACAAAAAGAACAAGAAGCTCTGTTGGAGGACAGCTTCTCCTGTCCTTCCACTTTCTCATGCAACTGGCTTGGGACAGTAATTCTTGGACACTCATCCTTAGATCTCCACTCTAGATCAACAGTGCGCTTATATTTTGCCTGGCAATTACAATTGCCCTGTTGGGAGTAATAATCACCGCTCACTCTTCACCCACAACTTGAATTAAACAGCTTTGGTTCCATCCATCTTTTATGCTGAGTTTACTCAAGAAGCCTTCTCTTCTTGAGAGGTCCCTCATTTCTCAGCCTTCCACTGAAGCTGAGCCAGCAACTTGTCTGTCCTCTCACTCTTCCCATGAATTCCAAAAGGATAGCAGAATCAGGATCAAAGTGAGCAGGTAAGCCAATGATGTATTCGACCATCTTGCGGCTTTCCGGGACTTCCAAGAAAAATGCAGGAGGTGGTGGGATGGGGGAGGAGAGAAGCTTATGGCCAGGAACTTTCACTCCATGTCTTCTGGGACTATTTCCCTTCATGTTGCTGGGTAGAGCAATGATTTGGAGAGGAAGCATGGGCACATGAGTACAAAAGAGCAAAGGAATGGGTTGCGATACGAGGTGCCAGCCCCAAATTGAACATGGAGGGCTGATCAGACGAATGGTCTTTGGGAAGCACCTTTTAATTGCTTTCACTCTCCCCAAATGGGAAAGAAAAGCCTTGGGTTCTTGGAACCTCAGCAGTGGCCACCAACAGGATGCCAGTGAAGGAGACCTAGTTATTGGCCAGAGAGAATAGCGGTCAGACAACTGCTCCATCAGTCAGAGGGGGTCACCATTCAGGTTGTTCCTGCTTTTCTTGCGTTTTGTCTTGGCTGAAGGGGAGGGGAAGTCCAGAGATTCCAGGCGGAAGGGGCGCGGCTGGGGCATCTCCAAGGTTTGGGCAGAGGGAATAGATATCAGGCTGGAAGTCAGCATGGAAGCGCTGCTGTTCAGTAAAGGAGGCGAGTTGTGGGAAACTGCAGAGGAAAAAACAAAACAAAATGAGTAGTTTAATTTCAGGAATACCAACAACAAAGCCTCACTATCCATCCTCCATCCTCCTCAGGAGAAATTTGTTCAAATGTCTTGCAATAATGCTTTATGCTCATCTTGTGGGCAAAGGCTCGTTAAAATTTCTGTACAATTATGTGATATTTATACAAGTAGTCAACAATAGTAAATGGGACTGGAATTTCAGTTGCTAAGCAACATGGTCATAAAGCGCAATGTCACATGACCACGTCACTTAGCAACAGCAATCCCAGGAGTCCCTGCTACTGTCACTAGCTGAATCCCACCGGTCGTTAAGTGGGGGGGGGGCTCAAAAATTTTCTGAACTTGGCAGACCTCGAGGAGTGCAGAGCAGCAGGGACAGCTGGATCTTTGTGTTGTGGTGCTGGGATGGCAGGCCATGGTGTAGGGCTTGAGGCAATATTCGGTGGTGGCAGTACTAGGGCTGAAGTAAGGTAGTGGCAGCTAGTTGAGACTGCTCTGCCTCTGATTCAGTCCAAGTGGCACCGTTGCCAAGGAGTATCACTGTGGGGGGCACCCAAACAGGCAGAGATGGAGAGCGAATAGGTGGCTGGGTGGAGTTGAAGTGCCCCTGTAGTCATAAGTGCAGGCAAGCTGCCAAGTACCTTAATTTTGATTATGTGGGGGGGGCACTGCAATGGCTATAATGTCAGGCACCCAGCCTAAGAACCATTCATTCAGTGCCACTACAACTTCGAACCCTTGCTGGACAAAAAGTGACTAAGTGAGGAATACTTGTAATGGATAATGGAAAAGTTTAAAGAATAATATGGAACTGATAATCATGATTTCTCAGCCCTCCCATAGAAGTACAACATCTGCCAGTCTTGGGGACAGAGAAAATGATTTCTTCCCACAGGAAAGAAATGTTAAGGGGAAAAAAAAAAGAATTTCTCTCTTTAGATGCCTCTGAGATTCTGACAAGTGAAATTGTAGTGCTGTTCTGTACAATTATTCAACACATGTGAGATGGTCTTAAGCAGGCAGTTTCCCAGAGAAAAAAATAAAGAGCACCTGAAGGGATTTACCTAGACTCTTCCTGGGGTCAGCACTGAGAATCTGGCTGGCTCGTTTTGAGCGGAAGTAATTACTGGCAATATTTTCACTGTCACTCTTACTCAGCATCATCTTGTAGCGGTCTTCTTCTGGCTGGGGACAAAGACAAGGGACTACAGTACCAGTTTATCCTCCTACAGTTCAAGGAGAATCACAGTTTTTCTAATTTTAATAACCAATGCTCAGATTCCAGTTGACCTGAAACCTCTGCCTTATCTTTTCAAGCTCCAATTTATTCTGCTATATTGTCTCCAAATGAGATAGTAATGGCAGTTAGTGGAGGGACTAGAAACTTTTGATTGATTACATGGTAATTTGCCCTGAAATATTACTATTGATCCTTATTATAGTTATACAGTACTTTGCCCCCTGCTTATATCCTACTTCATCCCTTTTGTGGCTTTCTGAGATTGCAAATTTTCAGCCTTGAAAAGAGTTGGCCATGGAACCAGCAAGCAGAGTGTAAGGGGACATCCTAGGCCAGTGATGGCGAACCTTTTAGAGGCCGAGTGCCCAAATTGCAACCCAAAACCCACTTATGCATCGTCAGGTGCCGGCTGGGTGTGGCCCATTGGAGGGAGTGTAGCCCATTGGGTGGGCGTTTCCCACAAGAAATTGAAATTGATTGATTGAACCTTTTTTTTTTTTTTTTGCACATGGCAGCAGAGGCCTAAAATGAAAAGGTTTTATAAAACCCAGCTAAAGGCTTAGGACTGGGGCAACGGCGCGTGTGCCCATAGAGAGGGCTCTGAGTGCCACCTCTGGCACCCGTGCCATAGGTTCGCCACCACTGTCCTAGACTATTGGGACATTTTCTTAGAGGCTGTAAGATAGTGGGTTTAATAAGGGAAGGCAACCCAACCAGATCAACCCAAAGCTACTATTGCCAGAAGATGATAGTAGCAATCTAGCAATCGATCAATCGATAGATAGATAGATAGATAGATAGATAGATAGATAGATAGATAAATACATTGACTGATTGATTGATTGATATATTACAGGTAGTTCTCGACTTACAACTACAATTGAGCCCCAAATTTCCATTGTTAATTTGGATGACGTGGCCGTAGGGATGCTGCAACGGCTATAAGTGTGAAAACCAGTCACAAGTCACTTTTTTTTTCAGTGCCATTGTAACTTCAAGCAGTCATTAAACAAAAGGTTGTAAATTGAGGACTATCTATATAGAGATAGTAGAGAAGGTGGTGGCGTCTCAACTCTTGCGATCCTTGGAGGAAACCAATTATCTGGACCCTTTTCAATCTGGTTTCAGGCCCGGCTACAGCACTGAGACTGCTTTGGTCGCACTGACCGATGACCTCTGGCGAGCCCGGGATAGGGGTTATTCCTCTATCCTGGTGCTTCTTGACCTCTCAGCGGCTTTCAATACCATCGAACATGGTATCCTTCTGTGTCGTCTCGGAGAGGTGGGGGTGGGCGGCACCGTATTGCAGTGGTTCTCCTCCTACCTCTCTGACAGGTCGCAGTCGGTGTTGGCGGGCGGACAGAGATCGACCCCTAGGCGCCTCGATTATGGGGTGCCTCAGGGCTCGGTCCTGTCCCCCCTCCTTTTTAACATCTACATGAAACCGCTGGGTGAGATCATTCGGTGACATGGGGTGAGGTATCATCAGTACGCGGATGATATCCAATTGTATATCTCCACCCCGTGTCCTTTCAGTGAAGCAGTCGACGTGATGTGCCGGTGCCTGGAAGATGTGAGGGTCTGGATGGGGGTGAACAGGCTTAGACTCAACCCTGACAAGACCGAGTGGCTCTGGGTCTTGCCTCCCAAAGGTCAACTGGATGGTCCATCATTAGTCCTGGGGGGGGGGCAAATTTACCTCCCTCAGTGCAGGCACGCAACTTGGGGGTCCTCCTGGACTCACAGCTAAATTTGGAACAACATCTATCGGCTGTGGCCAGGGGGACCTTTGCACAGGTTCGCCTAGTGCACCAGTTGCGGCCTTATTTGGACCGGAAGGCTTTACTCACAGTCACTCATGCCCTTGTCACCTCAAGACTGGATTACTGTAACGCGCTCTACATGGGGCTACCCTTGAAGAGCGTTCGGAGGCTGCAGTTGGTTCGGAACGCAGCCGCGAGAGCGATTGTGGGTGCGCCAAGGTACGCCCACGTGTCACCTATCCTCCGCAAGCTGCACTGGCTTCCTGTGGGTCTCCGGACGCAATTCAAGGTGTTGGTTATCACCTTCAAAGCCCTTCATGGCATAGGGCCAGGTTACTTACAGGACCGCATTCTGCCGCACAGCTCCCAGAGACCGGTGAGGTCCCATAGATTGGGCCTCCTTCAGGTCCCGTCGGCCAGACAATGTCAGCTGGCGGGCCCTCGGGAAAGGGCCTTTTCTGTGGTGGCTCCGACCTGGTGGAATCAACTTCCCCCCGAGGTGCGAACTGCTCCCACCCTGCCGGCCTTTAAGAAAGCCGTTAAAACTCTCCGGTTCCGGCAGGCCTGGGGCTGATGTCCCCGGGGGGCCGGGATATGATCGGACTCGCGGTATGATTGGATTATTTTATTGTTTTACGACTGTTTTTAATTTTGTACGCCGCCCTGAGTCCTTTGGGATTGGGCGGCATATAAATATTTGTAAATAAATAAATAAATAAATATATAGAGATTGATAAAACCTAGGACCTGCCTAACCCCATCCTATCAGGAGGGGAGTCAGAGAACATCTGTGCTATGAGTGTATGCATGCACATATGTGCACCTGGGAGATAAAATAGAAAGAAAGGACTTCAGATTAGCAATCTCTTTAAAGAAAGAGCAGGTCAGACACAGAATGTATCCTTAACTCCCCATCTACACGCTAGTGCCCCCTTGTGGTCAATAGGTCTCTGAGTACGGAAGAGACAATGCCACTGAACTTGGACTTCCAAGAAACACCTACAACTTATTCTCATTAGACGTTGAACACCCCTTTTCAACTTACCACTGTCACCGTCTCCCCATTCTCTGCTGATGAATTCTTCTTGCCCGCCTTAGTCAATGACAATGATGAAACTGCTGTGAGAAAAACAGCAACAGTGCCGTATCAGTACCCCAGGCCCATATTGTGCCATTGGGAGAGGTCAAGGACATGCAGTGGACACAACACACACACACACACACACACACTTGCTTCAGTTTACCTTTGGAATTATTTTAGAGTGTTTTATCATTAAACAAAACTTGAAAATTCTGCAAAGCAGAACACCATTTTCTGTTTCTAAGAACAGATCTGTGTTCCCTAAGGACAATCTGAGGTTTTGGAAACAGGCCTTCCTGCACAAAAGCAGAAACAGAAGGTGTGAGAAATCATGATATGGGTCCTAGAGGGCTAGAGAAGGGAGCATACTCTTTAGTTTGTCTTCTTGTAAATGGCAATGCAAGCAATAGCAGGGTTTTTCTGAATGTTTGGGAAGCTATGAGAGGCTATTGTAAGCTTTGGGGTAGAGCGATGGTTCAGTCCCTGTTGGATTGATGTGGGGGGGGGGAAGATGCTTTATCTGTTATCTTTGAGCTATCCATGATCTCTTTTTTTTATTTTTATTTTTCTTACTTTTAATTCCAAGTCATCCAGAGCATTTGGGAATCAGGCAGCCTTTAAATTGGATGGATGGATGGATGGATGGATGGATGGATGGATGGATGGATGGATGGATGGATGGATGGGTGGGTGGGTGGGTGGGTGGGTGGGTGGGTGGGTAGGTAGGTAGATGGATGGATGGATGGATGGATGGACGGATAGATGGATGGACGGATAGATGGATGGACAGACAGACAGACAGACAGATAAATGGATAAAAAATAGGGAATGCCACTTGATGGTTCATAAAAATAGGACTTTAACTATGCTTTAGACATAAGCATATGGCAAATAAAAATGCTCAACTACACTAAAGGCTCTCCTAATTCTAACCACTCTCGGTGACAGATTTCCAGATTTCATTTCAGTTCCTGGCCTGTTTTTTACTTACTATTATAAGAGCCGTGGTGGCGCAGTGGTTAGAATGCAGTATTGCAGGTTAATTCTGCTGATTGCCAGGGGTTCAATCCTCACCGGCTCAAGGTTGACTCAGCCTTCCATCTTTCCGAGGTCGGTAAAATGAGAACCCAGATTGTTGGGGAAACATGCTGACTGTAAAGCACTTAGAGAGGACTATGAAGCACTGTGAAGCGCTATATAAGTCTAAGTGCTATTGCTATTATTTGAATAAATCCTAACTGGCTAGATTGTCTTAAATCACAGTTTACAATCCTCAGTGGCCACATTCGCCCAGTAAACCAAGCCAAAGCCAAGTAGTTCATATTTGGGATTAGCATACAGGTAGTCCTCAATTTACAATTGAGCCCAAAATTTCTGTTGTTAAGTGAGGCATTTATTAAGTAAATTTTGCCCCATTTTATGGCCTTTCTTGCCACAGTTGGCAAGAAATCACTGCAATTGTTAAGTTAGGAACACAGTTGTTAAGTGAATCCGGCTTCCCCGTTGCTTGTCAGGTGGTTGCAAAAGGTGATCACGTGACCCCAGGGTACCACAACCGTCATAAATATGAGTCAGTTGTCAAGCGTCTGAATTTTGATCATTTGACCATGGGGGATGCTGAAATAATCCTAAGTGTGAAAAATGGTCGTAAGTCACTTTTTTCAGTGCCGTTGTAAATCAACTGTTGTAAGTCGAGGACTATCTGTACTGTATCAATTAGGCCAGGGAATTGGTGGGGTGCATTTGCATAGTCTAGGGAGTTCTTCCTTGCCTGCGTTGGGAGTCTGGAGCAATTCTATCCAGAGGATATCGCAGTACCTGGAGCTTCTCTTACCTGCAGGGAGGCTGGTCTTCTGAGTAATAGGCTCTGGGATTTTCCAGGAGCCCGATTCCTCATCCCAGGTGGACTCCCGCTTGATTTTATCAAAATTGCTATAACTGCAGTCCCGTCGTATTAGAGGCTGCACTTGGTCCAGGAGCTGCTGGAAAAGCAGGAGTTCCCGCTCCTGGCGGCGGATGGTGGCCAGATAATCAATCCTTTCCAATTCAAACTCTGAATGTAGATCTTTGATTTCAGTCTCAGCTACCCGCAGCTGGGAAGGACAGAATCGTTGGGTAAAAGTATAATAATTATTTTATAATAAATGTAATATATGTTCCATTCGGGGTAAGACAATGGCCACGCAGCATCACCATGTAAAAAGCCAAAAGATAAACATCTGAACGTAATACTAACAGATAGATATCAATTCTCTAAATCAAAGTGGCTGGCTTTTCTCTTGAGAAGAACTGCAAGGTTTAAGAAAATACAAATGTGCTGTCCTTATCAGAAGCTATCAGAAGATTGGCTTTACATAGAGAAACATCACTTTGCACTTGACAACTGGGCATCTGGAACATATGGCCATGAAAAACATGATGCTTCTTAAACAAACAAGCCTAGACAGAGAAGAATGACAGTCCAACTGGTGTAGCCCAACACATGGATCAGGACCAATGAAGTCTGCTTATGGGTCCCGACCTATATGTTGAAAACCAGTGCTTAAAAAAGGGAGATTTTAAAACTTGTGCACTTCCAGCCATTTCATACTGGAAATGGACTGGAAATAATAAAAGTACAGATGCATCTAACTGCTTCAGAAGGGGAAGAAATCACCTTTTCCTTGATCTTTTCCAGCAATCGACTTTTGGCTCGCACTTCCTCCTGGATAGAGTCATAGACGTTGAGTAGGACCCAGTCGCTGCTGTCCTCATCGGATTTCTGCAGAGCCTCCAGCAGCTGCTGCTTCCGTTCATCTGCAATTTTCTTCCGACGTGTATGCTTTTCCTTCAGATCTTTGTTCTTGGCCTGTTCTCCTCCAACCACCTGCTGCTCTAGCATCTGCAGTCTAAGAGGCCACAGAGATTCATCTAAGCTTTAGGCACGTCTTTTAAAACCATTTCTAAACTCAGGGATCCTTTCTACCACGAGAACCCCTGAAGTCTGCAGTCTGCAGTCTCTGTGCTGTGCCATGGAAAAACCCACTAGGACTGGACCACCCACGGCGGGGAAAAAGTCGAAGATGGCAGGCAAGTTGTTTTACCATTTCAGTGACTTTTGTTACTGATCTTGAGGCCGCAAAATATTTCAGCAACTCCAAATGGATAGGTTGGAAGTGAATGAACTAGCATATGAGTAAGAGCAGTTCACCAAGGCAGCATTAAGTGGTGCTACCCGTTCGCTTTCGAGTTGGCAGAAAATTATACTGACATGAAATTGACAGTATCTATTGCTGCCATCCCCTATCCTGCTTGCACTGCTGCTTGTTCAAGTCACTACAGTGACCTAAAGTATAATGGGTTTACGCATTGTGGGGCTGCCCTTGGATGGTGGCAAAATAAGGGGGAACTCTATTTTAGCCCTCGTGCAGCTGAGAATTATTTCAGTCTGCCTCACTCATAGGTTGAGAAAGAGACCAACACAGTAACATCAGGGGGATGCTGCAGAAAATAGATTCTGTCGGGGTAGGTTTATGCTGTAGTTAGGTGCAAAGGAGGAAAGATCCTAACGATGGGCATCTGTTTTCACTCCCAGAGCTGTAATCCTTCAGAAGTCAAATAGCACTCTAAGGCAAGAGCCAAAAGATAGCAGTAGAAAAGGCAGAGCCCAAAATGGGAGGTCCTGCTTCTTTTCTCCCTCTCTTTTTTCCACCCCCCCCCATTTTTTCTCTTCTCTTCTCACCCTCCTCTTATCTCTCTAACATTAGAGAAGGAAAAGTTTCTTTTTAACCAGAGATGTGATCTAATTGATCAATGAAATTAGGTGAAAGTTGCACATCTCATTCAAACAGCAGTATGTCTATCCCCTCTTGTTGATTTTTAAAGGTCCTCTTTTAATGAATCGGAGCAAAGCCATGACCTGTTATTCTGAACATGGCAAGGGAGAAGGAGGCCCCACCTCCCTCCTCTTTTCCTCTGCTGAAGCCTGAGCAAAAATGATCAGTTAAGAATCTCACACCCCCCATCATGTGAATAAAGATGCAGCATTCCCCTTAAAGGGTGCTGAAGGCCTATAGACACCTTTTATATGTGATGCACATCTATTTTTAGCTAGCACTTTGGTATAAATCTGGATTGCTGAGAATGCTCAGGTACTAGCAGCCATTATATTGATATGTATGTCAGGACCCCAAGATTGGCTGAGCTGTAAGTAGAATGAATCTTCTCATATGCTTGCCCATTTTCTTCAGTCAATGTTCAGAAACATCCTACAATAGGTTTACAGAGAAAATCTGCAAGAGAGCGTTCCCCAACATCAAAGGAAAAGAGGTCTGCCTCATGTACTTGGGAGCCTCATGCATTGCAAACCAAGACTAGTGTGAAGGTTCTTAATTTTTCTTGATAACGTAAGTACATAAGCAATGCTGTGCTGGATTGGATGCCTGGCCTATCTACTCCAGCACCCTGTTTTTACAATGGCCAGCCAGCTGCACAAGGAAGCCATTGGCCAGGGATGTCAAACTCAATTTCATTGAGGGCCGCATCAGCATTGCGGTTGCCCTGGGGGGGGGGCTGGGGTGTGTGGCCAGGGTGGGTGCAGCCTATTGGGTGGGCGTGGATGGAGTGGGTGTGGCCTACTGGGTGGGCATGGCCAGCTTTACATCATTCACGTCAAGGGTGCCTATGGGGCCCTGGGCAGGAGTGGGACAAATCTGAGGGTCTCTGGCAGAAGGAGGTGGGACCGGGGCAAGCGCCAAGGCATGGTCCATTTCTTCATTCCTCACAAAGGGTGACACCTCCCCAGGATGCACCCAGGGGGCGGGGCTGACACAGCAGGGGCTGGTTCCTCGCTGTTTCCAGATGGCCTTGTGGAGTTAAGGCTGAATGTGTTTCAGCATAGATGGCCACCACAAAATTGTACATTGGCTCCTGGCCGGCCTGGGCCAGGGCCAAGGCTGAGGGGGCCATTCCCTCACTGTTTCCAGGATGGCTTCATGGGTCACATGAAACCACTTCGTGGGCTGCATCCGGCCCCCAGACCTTGTGTTTGACATGTCTGCCATAGGTCAGCAGACGGCCTTCAGAGGTCTAATAAGTCTAATAAGCATTTAGCTCCATGACTTCCCTGAATTGATCCAACTTTTCTTGGAAACAGCGAAGCTGATAGCCAGCATCAACCCTTATTCCATATTGTCTAATCAGTTGCACCTCTTCTGCCCAGCATTGATTCCAATCTAGAATACCTAATTCCAAGTTAGAATACTAAATACCTAGGGAGACATTGGGAAGAAGATACCAAATTTAAATATTGCACAATTTCAGAATAATCAAGCCTAGGAATAGTTAAGAGTGAGACTCTAATTTGCCCCCATTTGTCTAATTTATTTCCACTGTGAAATATATATATATATATATATATATATATTCAATGATGCAATCTTCGATTTCCGGGAAGAGTATACTCCAGTTATTTATTGTTAAAACAACATTTAAAACAATAAAAACAGTTATATACAAAAATTAAAACAACTTAGCTTTCGCTGGTCCTCTGCCAGCGTCCTCAGAGTGGGGCTTAGGGGGTGGGAAGTTCTTTTTATCCCCTTGCTGATCCAATTGCCTACTCATTGCCCTAGTGACAGGGCCACTCTTCCTGATTGCCTGTGACAGCCTTGCCTGTTCCGCCCTCTCTTTTTTGCACTCTAACATTGTATTTTCTTGCTTTGTCATCCTTGTGCTGTCTCCCCCTCCCTGCGCTGTTATCATTAGCACACTCTCCAATCCTCCTCCTTATCCAATGCAAGGTGCTTCCTCCGACTCGGCACTACCCGAATCCTGTTGAGCTGATGATCTGCCTGCCGTTTTTGCATACCATTGCTGGTTTCTATTTCAACTCCCTCCTCCAACCCCCCTCCTCTCCCAGCTTGCCGATTCATGCACCCTTTGTTATCCATTCCTGTCATCCTTCCCCCCCTTCCTTCAACCCTCCCACCTGTTGATTAACATATTGCTCCTGCCTTTCATCGACCATTCTTATTGATGTTCTCTTCCTCAATATCTTTTCCTTCCTGATCCGCTGCTCTATCTGCTGTTCCTGTTTACCCTCCTCCTCCACTGTCCATCTTCCCCTCTCCAATGTCCTCCCCATCATCTGCTGACTTGCCTGTTGTTCATCCATTTCTATCCATCCTCTCTTTTCTAGCATTCCTCCTCCTCTGACCTGCCGTCCTACATGCCGTACCCACATGCCAACATCCATTCCTATTAAACCCTCCTTCTCCAGCTTTCCTCCTCCCCAATCTGCCGTCCTGCCTGCTATTCTTATCTGCCCTTCTCCTTTCCTGTCAGTCCCCCCCTCTCCTGTTTCCTCCCCCCCTCTCCAATTCACTGCTCCGTTTGCTGTTACTTCCAGCATTCTTCCTTCCCTTACCTGCTGTCCTACGTACTGTTCCCATCTACCAACCTGCGTTCCTGTTGGACTCTCCTTCCCAAACTTTCCCCCCCCAAAACTGCGGTCCTGCCTATTATTCCTGCCTGCCCTTCTCCATTCCTATCCACCCCACCCTCTCCTATTTCCTCCCCCCCTCTAATCTGCAGTTCTCCCTGCTGTTCCTGGCTATTCTCCTCCATTCTTACTCCCTTCTCAAATATCCCCTCTCCATCCATGAATGTGCTTCCAATCTTACGTGCCTCATCTTTTCTGTTCTTTTCTCTCTCCCCTTCTCTTTTGATCAGTCCCCTGGGGTCGGGCATACCCCTCCCCCGTATTCTGGGCCGTACGATCAATTCCGCTGTTCCCAAGAGTCTTCCCTGATCCCCCTCTCCTTGCAATCCACCATCATCTCCACCTCCTCTTCCTTTACTACCCTTACCTGTCTGTGACCCTAATGTTCCCTCATCTGTCCCCACCTGTGATGTGTCTATGGGATCCTCCCTATGTCTAGTTATGTAGTGAATACCCCCCCCCCACCAGTTCTGGTTTCGCCTCTGACAATCGGCATCCGTCTCTTGACATGCTCTTCCTGCACTCTTAGTGCCTGGTACGCCGAGGGCAGTTCTATACATCGGTTGATGGAGTCTGTGTTGGAGAACCAGGCCTCCTTTAGTAAACGTCCTCCTTTGGAGGCGTCCTGGGCAATGGCTTCTGCCTCCTTGAAATCAAAAGAATGTCCGGTATTAATCATGTGTGTCCATATTTGAGAGTATTGCTCCTGCCTTCTGACAGCCAATTTATGTTCATGTATCCTAGTTTTTATTCATTTGGCTATCTCCCCCGTATAATTACATTGGCAGTCTTTGCAATGCACTCTGTATACGACCGCTGATCTTTCTTCCTTCGGCAATGGCTCTTTAGGGCGCATGACTTTCATCCGGAGTGTTTGATCAGGCCGGTGAGCAACTTTAATATTATAAGGTGCCAATATGCGCACTGTTGCTTCCGATACTCCCTGGACATATGGTATTGTTGTTCGGGCCATTGTCCCTGGATCATTCGGTGCCTTGCGGGGTTCTTGACGTTTGCTGTATCTCCGAATGAAGCTAGTTGGATAGCCATTCCACTTACACACTTGATAAAGATGTGCACGCTCCCTCTGCTTAGCCCTCCTGGTGTTACAGTGCTATTCACATAGCGATTAACATTGCTATTCACGTCCATCCCGCAAGAATTGGCCATGACGACCATAAAAGATCTACTACAACTGAAAGGACTACGGAGTCAAAGTTCCCTTGGGACAGAAGATGTTGTCAGGTTACTACGGCTATGCTTGAAAACGTATTTCATATTCCAAGGAACAATATATGAACAAATTAAGGGCACGCCAATGGGATCCCCCATTTCGGGGGTCATTGCAGAGGCGGTCCTACAGTGTTTGGAAAGCAGGGCCATGGCCGACTATCAACCAGAGTTTTAGGCCAGGTATGTGGACGATACTTTCGGCATCGTCAAACGGGCAAGAAAAACTGCCCTTATGGAGAAACTCAACTCAATATTTCCGGATATACAATTCACAGCGGAGGAGGAGGCCAATGGCAGCTTGGCCTTCCTAGACGTTTTGGTTACACGTCAAATCAATGGTGCCCTCCATACGACGGTGTATAGAAAAGCCACTCACACCGACAGGATGTTGCACTATATGAGCAATCACCCAGCAGCCCATAAGATCTCATGCGTTAGAACATTATTTGCACTCATAGACACGCACTGTAACACCAGGAGGGCTAAGCAGAGGGAGCGTGCACATCTTTATCAAGTGTGTAAGTGGAATGGCTATCCAACTAGCTTCATTCGGAGATACAGCAAACGTCAAGAACCCCGCAGGGCACCGAATGATCCAGGGACAATGGCCCGAACAACAATACCATATGTCCAGGGAGTATCGGAAGCAACAGCGTGCATATTGGCACCTTATAATATTAAAGTTGCTCACCGGCCTGATCAAACACTCCGGATGAAAGTCATGCGCTCTAAAGAGCCATTGCCGAAGGAAGAAAGATCAGCGGTCGTATACAGAGTGCATTGCAAAGACTGCCAATGTAATTATACGGGGGAGACAGCCAAACGAATAAAAACTAGGATACATGAACATAAATTGGCTGTCAGAAGGCAGGAGCAATACTCTCAAATATGGACGCACATGATTAATACCGGACATTCTTTTGATTTCAAGGAGGCAGAAGCCATTGCCCAGGACGCCTCCAAAGGAGGACGTTTACTAAAGGAGGCCTGGTTCTCCAACACAGACTCCATCAACCGATGTATAGAACTGCCCTCGGCGTACCAGGCACTAAGAGTGCAGGAAGAGCATGTCAAGAGACGGATGCCGATTGTCAGAGGCGAAACCAGAACTGGTGGGGGGGGGGTATTCACTACATAACTAGACATAGGGAGGATCCCATAGACACATCACAGGTGGGGACAGATGAGGGAACATTAGGGTCACAGACAGGTAAGGGTAGTAAAGGAAGAGGAGGTGGATATGATGGGGGATTGCAAGGAGAGGGGGATCAGGGAAGACTCTTGGGAACAGCGGAATTGATCGTACGGCCCAGAATACGGGGGAGGGGTATGCCCGACCCCAGGGGACTGATCAAAAGAGAAGGGGAGAGAGAAAAGAACAGAAAAAATGAGGCACGTAAGATTGAAAGCACATTCATGGATGGAGAGGGGATATTTGAGAAGGGAGTAAGAATGGAGGAGAATAGCCAGGAACAGCAGGGAGAACTGCAGATTAGAGGGGGGGAGGAAATAGGAGAGGGTGGGGTGGATAGGAATGGAGAAGGGCAGGCAGGAATAATAGGCAGGACCGCAGTTTTGGGGGGGGGGAAGTTTGGGAAGGAGAGTCCAACAGGAACGCAGGTTGGTAGATGGGAACAGTACGTAGGACAGCAGGTAAGGGAAGGAAGAATGCTGGAAGTAACAGCAAACGGAGCAGTGAATTGGAGAGGGGGGGAGGAAACAGGAGAGGGGGGGACTGACAGGAAAGGAGAAGGGCAGATAAGAATAGCAGGCAGGACGGCAGATTGGGGGGGAGGAAAGCTTGAGAAGGAGGGTTTAATAGGAATGGATGTTGGCATGTGGGAACAGCATGTAGGATGGCAGGTTAGAGGAGGAGGAATGCTAGAAAAGAGAGGATGGACAGAAATGGATGAACAACAGGCAAGTCAGCAGATGATGGGGAGGACATTGGAGAGGAGAAGATGGACAGTGGGGGAGGAGGGTAAACAGGAACAGTAGGTAGAGCAGCGGATCAGGAAGGAAAAGATATTGAGGAAGAGAACATCAATAAGAATGGTCGATGAAAGGCAGGAGCAATATGTTAATCAACAGGTGGGAGGGTTGAAGGAAGGGGGGGGAAGGATGACAGGAATGGATAACAAAGGGTGCATGAATCGGCAAGCTGGGAGAGGAGGGGGGTTGGAGGAGGGAGTTGAAATAGAAACCAGCAATGGTATGCAAAAACGGCAGGCAGATCATCAGCTCAACAGGATTCGGGTAGTGCCGAGTCGGAGGAAGCACCTTGCATTGGATAAGGAGGAGGATTGGAGAGTGTGCTAATGATAACAGCGCAGGGAGGGGGAGACAGCACAAGGATGACAAAGCAAGAAAATACAATGTTAGAGTGCAAAAAAGAGAGGGCGGAACAGGCAAGGCTGTCACAGGCAATCAGGAAGAGTGGCCCTGTCACTAGGGCAATGAGTAGGCAATTGGATCAGCAAGGGGATAAAAAGAACTTCCCACCCCCTAAGCCCCACTCTGAGGACGCTGGCAGAGGACCAGCGAAAGCTAAGTTGTTTTAATTTTTGTATATAACTTTTTATTGTTTTAAATGTTGTTTTAACAATAAATAACTGGAGTATACTCTTCCCGGAGATCAAAGATTGCATCATTGAATAATATGCCCGGGATTCGTATTTTTATAACTATTAAGGAGATATATATATATATATATATATATATATATATATATATATATATATATATATATATATATATATATATATATAAAGCTGAATTGTTTTTCTTTCAAATAGCAACAAGAGGCATTCATAAACACCATTCTTTTAATCCCTGTCGGTCTTCTCAGTCACTGACCTGGCAAGTACTTGCTGCTGGTTCATAGGAATAAGAACATCTTCAACTACATCGGTCCCAGGTGTGTCTGGTCGGAAAACTTTCCTCACCTGCTGGTCCACTAGGGGAGCAGGTGACTCCTCTATATTGGACTCCTGAGTACAACAGAACATGGGAGACAGCAATTGAGAATTTATATTAGGTCTGATGGATAGAAACCTGGGTAACCCTTTATTTTCAAAGTGCCTCCAAAAAAGAAAATGGGACAAAATTCTAGACATGTAGAATTAAGTCTAAAGTCAAAGCTGATTGGAACATGAGCATACAGCAGCTGCTTCCTATTACCCTTGGTTTTGATGTTGTCAGACTTCAGCCCAACCCAAATGTTCTGCAAGAGGAAAGAAAGAGCAAAAAATTCCCTCTGTACGTGTTGAAGATGCTCCAAAACGAAAAGCCATTCAGCTGTTGACCTCACAATGTTCGTTTAATCAGAATCAGACTAGGATGGAGCATTTTCAAGGTGCCCCTCCCCTCTGGCATATGCACACATCTTCCCCCTCTGCCAACTAGGTCAGTTCAGAGCTACTAGATGACATCAGTCTACACTGACAACATAGATCTATGGTAATACATCGATGCATACATAGAGATAAAAAATCTAGATATCTTTAACTCCTGTGATCCTTTGTCATTGGCTTGGCCTGATAAAAATTGAAGTAAATAATATCTGGACGGCACCAACTGCTGGTCTTACAGCAATCAAAATGAATGTACATCAGCAGTATTTGAAGCATATGCTAATATATTTACTGAAAAATAAACTATTTTAAGTGGTATGTGTATTTAGGATTCCAGCATAATTACACAAAAATATTCATGTTGAAGAAATTATTTCTTTCAATTGGATTTATTCCCAATTAAGGATAAGTAAGTTTATCACAATGTGACACCAGTGCACACTTAGGAAGTAAGCCCAATTTATTGGAATGGAGATTTCTTTGTTAGGGCTACTAGATATAGTAAAAATTCAGATAACCAGCAGGTCTACAAAGAGATATGTACATCACAAATTATTTGCTGCCAACTAGGAGTAATTTGAATTTTTGCAATCCAGATCTGATGGCCCTAATTTGGAAGACACACTTAGGATTGGACAACCCTAAATACACATGGTCGGTTCTAATTTACATGAAAGCTGGGACATGACCACTGAAGTAAAGACAAGGATAGAGAAAGCTTGAACAACATTCTTCAAAATGAAAAAGGTCTTCTGCAGTCACGACATAAGTCTAAGATTGAAAATCAGGCTTGTCAGGTTCTATCCTACTCTATGGAGTAGAGAGTTAGTCTCTGACAGAAGGCCACCTGAAGAGACTAGAAGCATTTGAAATGTGGATTTACAGGCAGCTATTACATATAAACTAGGTTGACAAGATCATAAATGAGGAAGTGATAAGCCACCTGGGAAAGCCAAGGGAAATCATCAAACGAAAGTTAGAATATTTCGGACATGTGATGCGACACCCAGAAAAATACGGCATACTCCATTTAATCCTCCAGGGAAAGATTGAAGGCAAACGAGGTCCAGGCAGAAGAAGAACATCGTGGCTTCAAAATCTAAGGGACTGGTTTGGACAAAACTCAGCAGCACTTTTTCGTGCAGCTGCTGATAAAAACAGGATCGCCAACATGATTGCCAACGTCTGATTACAGATATGGCACAATAACAAGAAATAGACATGAAGGAAAAGTCCCACTGAGCTTCACAAGGCTAACATCTGAGTCCCCCTCAAGTCTTGCTATGCTGTCTCATCAGAGCTAGTGGGAAAGGTGTTTTTCTTGGAAGCGATGAGTGAAGAATGCTGGGAGTATTTATACCTAAGGCTTGAAGGTCATTTCAACTGTTCAGCTAAAGCAAGTAGATACCTACATTGGATAGCTGTCCTAAAGGGAGCTTCTGGGAGGTAGAGGATTATTTTAATGACAACAGCAAAGATATAATTACATATGTCGGAGAAGGCACTCGCAAACCTATACTTTATCATATACTCTTACAGGGAATGTAAGAAGCTTAACACAGTAAAAGATGAAATGAATCAGCTAGACATGAATATATTACACATCAATGGGGTGGACTTGGACCCTTTCAGTCAGAGAACCGTACAGTTTAGTGCTCAAGGCACAAAAAACACAAAAAGATTGGAATTTCTTTCATAGTCAGAAAGAATACAGCAAAGCTTGCACTTACGATGGTCCAAATTTATGCTTAACCGATGATGCAGAAGAAAAGAAGATTAACAGGTTTTATGGTCAAGTCCAATCTGAAATAGAACTTGCAAGCAAGATGTGCTGCTTGTGGTTGGAGACTACAATGCCAAAGTTAGAAACAGTAAAGAGAAAAATCTAGTTGAACTATATGATCTATGTAACAGAAGTGAAGCAGGAGAATAACGTATTACTTTCTGCCAATCAAAGGATGCTAATATTCAATAACTTTCAAATAACCAAAATGATGCCTTATGCGCTGATATCACCAGACTACATAAAAATTAAAGTGACAGTATTATTACTAATACAAGGATTGGGTTGGCTGTGTCAAGATGTGGAATAGGCTTAGCAAAATAAGGAGTGCCAGAACATTTCATTGTCCTCATGTGAAACTTATACCCAGGACAGGAAACCACAGCCAAGACAGAGCATGCAGAACAAAGATTCCAGATTGGCAAAAGAGTTAGTCAAGACTGTGTATTAGTTTGTTATATATTCAGCATGTAGGTGAATAAATATTAAGGGTACTGATGGAAGATGTGCACAGTTTAAAACCTGGAGAAAGAAACAACAATAACTTGTGTGCTGTGCTGATGGCTCTAACCCGAGAGCAGAAAATAAAAATCATCCACAAGCTCTAGCAATTAAAGTCAAGCAGTCCAGTAAGAAATGACTATAATCATATAAAAATATAAAAATAATGACAACAGGTACTGCTACCATCCTTAGAACTGACAATGAAGGATACTGAAGTGATGAACAGCTTCTTATCTTTAAGACCAGCTATCAGCATCAAGAAATCAGTAGTGAAGAAATAGATCAGAAACTAGTATGGAAAACATATTCTGATGTTGTGGTGCATCTACATCTACAAAGACCAGAGCTGTGCAGCTAATAGTTTCCCTTGTGACACTCACTGGGAACAAAAATCAGATTTTTGAAGAGGCAGAAAAAAATGCATGCTGACACTTTTAAACTCTGGTGTTAGAGAAAATTTTTGAGAATACTATAGATAGCACAAGAAAGCAAACCAAAAGCGTATAGAATAAAGAATTGCAGAGTTTTCAATTGAGGCACAAATGACTAGTGTCAAATGATCATACTTGGGACACAAGATGCAAAGACCTAACTCTCTTGAAAGGTGGAAGGATACAGGATGACCAACAGCAAGGCAGATGGATGTACAGTAGAGGGCAACAGCAATAACCTTGAGGAACAAGTATAAGAGCTGCAACCAAAACAAGAATTACAGAAAAGAAATCTGAGTCCAAGGGGAAAATGTAATTTGAGAAAAACCTGATCCTGCCTAAGTTCTCTTGAAGATAAAGGGGCGAGGTACATTCAGACTTGCAAGATTCTCTGATTGTAGCCTTATAATAAAAGTAGTAAAAGCTTTCATAACTTTGGCTTCCTAATCTGGTCTGCCTCAAAAAGCTGATATTGGGCTTGATTAAAATAGTGATGGATACACTGTTGGAAAGCCTGAAGAGCCAGGCTAGGGATAGATCTAATATTCCATCTCCCAATAAAATGCATTTTATTGTTAATTGATATTAGTTTAATGCAATAATTTAGCATTGTTGGATGTAGTTTTGAGATAACTCTCCAATTCTGCTGGCAGTAGGGGTTGCGGCATTGAATTTAAAGGAAGTTTTCCTTGTAAATAATATGAATTGTAAAAAAAAGCAACTCTTATATAGAGTAAATGCATTCTAGGATTACCCTCAAGATATTATAACATTTTGAAGCACTAAGAATTACAATAATTAGAAAACCCAATTTTTCTCTCCTCAAAGCATGCAGTATTGCTAAATCTACTTCATCTGACGTGAGAGCACTTTGTGAACATTCTGCTATTGATGACATAAAGACAATCCCACTTCTCCTTTGCTGTTTTATAACATAAGAGTTCTGTCTGGCAGAATACCTTAGCTGATAATTCAATATCTGCAGCAGGGATGAGGGGCGAAGGAGCTTGGTCAGAAAGAGCTTCAGCTGACTCTGCCATTTCTAGAACAAACAGGAAATGGAGATAAAATAAGAAGAAGCCATTAGGAGAAACCTCTGTTAATCTTTTGTGGTTGGAACTGATTTGAGAGATTAAATGCAGCTAAGCTCTCTGAGGGACCAGACAAATATTTTGGGCCTCCTCACTGCTTTGAGGTCTCTATGAAGAGACAGATGGTGATGCTGTTTAACAACTCACTGATTCATTACAACATCTTTCCAGAGTCTATCCTGGTTATATCCATGTGACTTATAGAGCATTGTAATATGCTTTATGTGAGTGCCCTTGATCAGAGTTTGGGAGCCACCCAAAGAGCAGCACTTCCATCTTGTTTACCGTAGTTTATTGTGCAGTTTAATTTGATCTACAACTCCTGCAAGACACCAGTTTCTGTTATGTCCCGAGCCTTTGCAAACGGCTCGGGCGTTTGCAGGCAGTCCCGGGCAGGTGCAAAGCTGCCCGGGACCAGACAGGCTGTCGCCAGCGCCGTGCGCATGCGCGGGTGCTGGCGCGGGAAAAGTAACCCATTTACCCGGGAGTTGCCTATATAAGGGGCTGCGAGGCGTTTGGGCTGAGCTGAAGCCATCTTCCTGTAAGCTGAACGCTGAATAAAAGAACCTGAGAACTCCAGCTGCTTCTCGTGTCTGTTTTCCCGCCAAGGACGCAACACTGGCGACGAAGGTGGGATGCCTTGCACTACCTGGAAAGGAAAAAGTGTAAGCTTACCCAAGGAGTCCTGAGCGGCGGAAGAGGAACGGTGTTGACTCAGCAGCTGCCCGCCAATCCAGTGCGCATTCGGGGGTAGGCTGGCTGATAGACCCGTCTCCTGAAGATCCGAAGATGGCGAAAATCGGAAGGCTTGCGGAATTCGACGTCTCACATCCAGAGCGGTGGGAGTCCTACGTATCCAGAATGGAGAACTACTTCAAGGCAAACCAAGTGAGGGAAGATAGCTTGAAGGCTGCCACCCTGCTTTGCGCTTGCGGCCAAGACGCCTTCGAAATCGCAGAAAACCTTGCAGCACCTGTTCCAGTAGAGTCTGTAAGCTACGCAGACCTGAAGAAGCTGCTGAAGGACCACTTTCACCCCAAGGTGTCCGTTATCTCATGGCGCCACACCTTCGAGCAGAGGGATCAACGGTCCGGTGAGTCAGCCAAGGAATACATCGCCGCGTTACGGAAGGCCGCCAAGCCCTGCGAGTTCAAGGACCTCGAGGAACGACTGAGGGACCGATTCGTGTGCGGGTTGAGGCATCGAGAGCTACAACAGAGACTTTTCGCTAAGGAAGAATTATCCTTCCAAGACGCTTTAAGGGAAGCCACCGCGGAAGAAGCAGCAGGCGGCGCCGTCAAGAACATGCGGCCGATCAGAAGCAGTGCAGAGGGTGCGTCCGTGCACCAAGAAGACGTCCGACGAAACTCCGAGGAGGATCCGGACGAAGAAGTCGACCGTCTACACCCCGCGAAGGGAGAAAATCAGAAGGAAAGCTCTTCAGCTCCGCTCAAGTGCATCGGCTGTGGAGGTCGCCACAGGAGAACCGACTGCAAGTTCCGCTCCGCTACCTGCCGGGCATGCGGCAAACAAGGGCACATTGCAGCTGTGTGTCTGGGCCGACGAAAGGCACAACCTCAAGAAGAACGCCTGAAGGGTACCAGAGTCCCCAGCCAGAATAGGGTAGGGTTTTGCGCTTCGCGTAGAAACATTTGTAGGACAGGCACACACAAGCCCATGAAGAAAAAGCTGTCACTCAACGTGAAGCTACAAGGGGTTCCATTATCTATGGAACTAGACACAGGGTCTGCCCTTTCCATCATTTCATTGCATACATTTAGGAAGATTTGTTCCAGTAGTGGGACTAAGGCCAAGTTAAGGCCTTCTGATATTGTATTAACTGATTTTCAGAACTCAAGAGTGTGTGTTAAGGGGGAGGCCACCCTTAACGTGCAATACAAGAGTTTTGAAGGTCCACTAGACTTGTTAGTAGTAGGGGGTGAAAGAACGAGTCTCATAGGACTCGATTGGTTTGAGGCCCTGGGGATACACGTCACAGGACTCAACAGCTTACAAACACTCGACCTACAGGAAGTCTGCAAGGAATTTGCAGATGTTTTCAGCCCCCAGCTGGGCACATTCAAAGGACCACCTGTGTCCTTAAAGCTAGACCCCACTGTCACTCCCATTAGGATTAAAGCAAGAAGGGTCCCTTTTGCTTTAAAAAGTAAGATTGACACTGAATTAGACAAACTAATCCAACAAGGAATCCTAGAACCTGTTGATTCCAGCCCATGGGAGACCCCCATTGTCACGCCTCTAAAGGCAAATGGGGACATTCGCATTTGTGCTGATTACAAATGCACACTCAATAAGGCATTGCAGCAACATGCCTATCCTGTTCCTGTGGTCAGTCACATCCTGGCCTCTCTCAAGGGGGGGCGTGTTTTTGCAAAGCTTGACCTAGCTCAAGCATATCAACAGCTGCCTGTTGATGATGATGCTGCCATAGCTCAGACCATTGTGACCCACAGGGGAGCCTTTAAGGTAAAAAGGCTGCAGTTTGGAGTGAATGTCGCTCCTGGGATTTTCCAAAGCGTAATGGAAAACACACTACGAGGTATACCAGGGGTCTGCCCCTACTTTGACGATGTCTTGATTGCAGGAGACTCCACACACATTCTAGCTGAAAGGCTTAGGGCTGTCCTGTTAAGATTCAGGAAATCAGGCCTTAAGCTCAGAAAAGACAAATGCAAGATTGGGGTGCCTTCTACTGAATTTCTGGGATTCAAAATTGATGCTGCTGGGATTCATCCTGCTGAATCCAAACTAACTGCTATTTTAGAAGCACCCAGGCCAAAGTCTAAGGCCGAACTTCAGGCCTTCCTAGGCCTCCTGAATTTCTACAATTCTTTTCTTCCACATAAAGCTAGTGTAGCTGAGCCTCTTCACAGGCTACTAGACAAACAAGCTGTGTGGCTGTGGTCACAAGCACATGAGGCTTGCTTTAAAGAAGTCAAGGCCTTGCTCACTTCTAACAGTGTTCTTGCACATTTCAACGAGTCTCTTCCTGTGTGCATCGCTTGTGATGCATCCCCCTACGGGGTTGGAGCTGTCCTGAGTCACCTCAGGTCTGATGGAACTCAGGTTCCTATTGCATACTACTCCAGAACATTGTCTTCTGCCGAGCGCAACTACGCTCAGATAGACAGGGAGGCTCTGGCTGTTGTTGCTGGAATTAAAAAATTCCACGATTTTCTATATGGCAGGCATTTCACGGTCTTCACTGACCATAAGCCTCTGCTGGGACTGTTTACCACACGTAAGCAGACTCCCCACATCATTTCCCCTAGAATGCTTAGGTGGTCTATTTTTTTGTCTGCATATGATTTTTCATTACTCCACAAGCCTGGGAAAGAAATGGGCCATGCTGATGGCCTCAGTAGGTTGCCTCTGCCAGTAGTAGAAGCTGACCCCGCGCCAGCTGTCAACATTCTATCAATCCAAGCCTTGCCCGAGCTTCCTCTTAGTGCCAGGGATGTTACCGCTGAAACAGGTACAGATCACACACTTTCACGTGTCCGCTCCTGGGTCCTGTCCGGGTGGCCTGAGCACTGCCCTAGTCCTGAGTTTCAGAGTTTCTGGTCCAAAAGGAACGAATTGTCCCTTTCTCAGGGTTGTTTGCTTTGGGGAAACAGAGTTGTCATTCCCACCTCAATGAGGACTAGGGTCTTAGAATCCCTCCACGAGGGTCATCCTGGCATTGTTCGTATGAAGGCTCTTGCACGCAGCCACTTGTGGTGGCCTGCTTTAGATAAAGATATTGAGGCTAAGGTACACGCATGCCACATGTGCCAACGATCTCGCCCAGAGATGCCCCAAGCTCCTGTGCATAAATGGGAGGAAACACAGTCCCCATGGTCTAGGGTGCACATTGACTACGCTGGGCCCTTTCAGGGCCAGTTCTTCTTGGTCCTTGTTGACAGCCATTCAAAATGGCTTGAGGTTGTGCCTGTCTCACCACCACCACTGCAAAGACTATTCAGGTATTGAGGGGGATTTTTGCTGCACACGGGCTGCCAGATGTCATTGTGTCTGACAACGGCCCTCAATTCACCTCCTCCGAATTCCAAGCTTTCTTACAGGCAAACCTGATTCGTCATGCCACATCTGCGCCTTTTCACCCGTCCACCAACGGTATGGCTGAACGCATGGTGCGCATCGCAAAGGACGCCTTGAAGAGACTCACCTACGGGGACTGGCATCACAGGTTGGCTGACTTTCTCCTTTCTTATCGCACCACACCGTCCACTTCTACAGGGAGAAGTCCAGCTGAACTTCGTTGGGGGCGCCAACTTACTACGAGACTTGACCGGTTGCATCCGGACAGACTGCCTTCATCTACCTCACATCCTAGGGCACCTAGACAACTACTTGTGGGTGCCCCGGTTTGGGCTCGCAATTACGGGCCTGGTCATACATGGGTCCCCGCTTCTGTGTCCAGGATCACAGGTCCTCTCTCCTACGAGGTTGCCCTGGACAACGGTCGTGTCCTGCGTCGGCACATCGACCAACTCCGCTCTAGGCGGGACTTTTCTGCTGAAACTCCTGGGTCTTTTCCAGGGGGGGAGGGGGACCCTTTGGAGCAAAGGGAAGGGCAAGAGTTACTGCCCATCTCCACTGAGGGAGCCACAGACGGCCCGTCCCAAGATTCTGCAATTGCTCCGAAAAGGAAGTCATGGAGCTTACCCACACAACAGGCATCCACGCCTACTCCAGCCAGGGAGTCACCCCGGGGGCATACTCACTTTCCACACACATCACACAGCACTCCAGTCACGGAGGATACCCGGGGGCATCCCAACAAATCATTCCCCGCAAGAGAGCTGGCACACAATCCCAAGGTTGGCCTGACCTTACCCCAAATCCTACAGGGGGTCAAACATACACAGAGCTAGTCGAGGAACCAAGTCCCGACTACAACACCCCTAGCACAAATCAGGGGACACCTGAGTTTTGGGAGAGTACAGAAACCCACATGAGCCCAAACACAGAATGGGGTTCAGGGAATGGACAGCCCCCTGACAGGTCTTGGACTGACCTAGGAGGTCCTACAGAGACGCCCAGCAGCGGCTATCACTTCAAGGGGCCTGAGGGTCTACAGCTAGGCAGGTCAACCAGGTCACAAAGCAACAGAAGCCCTGGCCTGACGAGCCCGGTGGGCAAGCAAGCAGGCCAGGCATCGGGGCACAGTCCTTGGAAGACACCAGGGCACAATAGAGAGAATAGGCTCACGCCTCCCTCCAGTCAGGGGACTTATGCCAGTAACCCACAGCTAAGAAGGTCACAGAGAGCAAAGAAATCTCCCAAGTACCTAGAAGACTACATAACATTGCTGGCAAGGCAAAGGCCAGTAAACAGTGGGAGCACTGGGGAGCAAAATGTTATATAAAATAAATGCTGTATGTTGGTAGTAGTTTTAGCCCGGGGGAAAGGGGTGTTATGTCCCGAGCCTTTGCAAACGGCTCGGGCGTTTGCAGGCAGTCCCGGGCAGGTGCAAAGCTGCCCGGGACCAGACAGGCTGTCGCCAGCGCCGTGCGCATGCGCGGGTGCTGGCGCGGGAAAAGTAACCCATTTACCCGGGAGTTGCCTATATAAGGGGCTGCGAGGCGTTTGGGCTGAGCTGAAGCCATCTTCCTGTAAGCTGAACGCTGAATAAAAGAACCTGAGAACTCCAGCTGCTTCTCGTGTCTGTTTTCCCGCCAAGGACGCAACAGTTTCCATAGATTTTCTAGGATTAAGGACGAAAACTAAAGGCATAGCTGGTGCCATATAAGCATCAGCCCTTCACTCTGGATCATCTTGATTCACAAGATCTCAGTAGTAAAAGAAGTAAAAGTTAACTGGAGCAAAACCTTGGGCCCTCTGGCTACTCCAAAAACTCCACTGTTCATCTCTTCCAAAAGCCAAAGCAAGAACTACCCACTGGATCTCCCCAGAATACCGTCTAAAATCTGAGGGAGGACACTGGGCTTACTGCTCCGAAGAGTCAGCCAGCCACCTTCCTGTTGGCAGGGAAAATATTCCCCAGCTGGCAAAGGCAATACTCAGGAGTTAGCAGATGGTAACTGCAATCAGTAAAAACAAGAGGATGGTAGCATAATCTGCTTCTGCAATATGACAGGGAATCTGCTTGGGGGCCGCAACATACACACGCAGAAGCTTACCGTTCATTGCCCAAAATAAAGAGTTTTGCCATGCCTCAAGACAACATTGGCCCTATCAACTTTCTCTGGAACTTTTGAACAGATATTAAAATATCAGACATGGAATTTTCTGCTGTTATGTTTATTAAATCTAAGACGTGACTATACCGTCTACTAGGGTCTCTTTCTGGAATCCATATTATTAATTAATCCTATCTTGTTCCAGATGGTCTGGAGGAAGTGTGCATATTGTTCTACTTTGCATAAAACATTCTTCAATTTTAATATTTTGCTTAATACAGTGTTTCTCAACCTTGACAATTTTAAGGCATGTGGACTTCAACTCCAAGAATTCCACAGCCAGCAATGCTGGCTGAGGAATTCTGGGAGTTGAAGTCCACATGCCTTAAAATTGTCAAGGTTGAATAACACTGCCTTAATATATTACTGCTTTTGCTAGTCATTAAGAAGGCAGTCTCTCTCTCTCTCTCTCTCTCTCTCTCTCTCTCTCTCTCTCCCTCCCTCCTTCTCTTTCTCTCTCTCTCACTCACACACACACCACAAAAAATCTCTAATTTTGTAATCCCTGATGACAATACATGATAGACTGTTTATTGAAGTTTCGTCTTGGATCTTATTGTCTCAGGTTGAATGGGACAAGATATAGATAGCTGAGTTTCTGCTTCATTATCCTTCTCATTCGCCATTATTTTCCTGTTTGTCTCAGGACAGTTCTCTACCTTCCTCTCCCCATTAACAGATGAGTAGCTGACTTTGCACCCATTTACTGATCTTACAGTAAAACAGTTGCAAATTGTCATTTCATAATATTCATAGGATGCAAGAGGAGTTAAACAGAAGAAGGCACTCTGACTTTATTTCTGTTTCAGGTGTTTCCATTTAAAATTACTATAGTAGTTTCCTGATAGGTGTTCTCAGTTCGTCTCTCCATCGCTGACTTTAATCCACAGCAGTGCTGTTCAGGCTGCCTGAGGTTTTCACGCTATTCTTGTGTTTTGTTCCATTACAACAGGGCTTTTCAACCAATGGTACGGGTACCACCTGTGGTACATTGGCACCTGGTAGGTGGTACGCGACCATCCTAGAAAAGTGGTAGCAGGGGAGAGGAATGAGCTGAACCGGTGGCAGCATCGCACAAGCCTGAGTGAGTGATGGCTGGAGCTGCAGAGCTGTCAGGGCTCAGCGGAAGCGCCGGGATCGGTGCCGCTTTCCAGCTGATTGGCATTTCTTCGGGACTGTCAGGGCTCATTGGAAGCACCAGGATCAGCGCCAGGCTCCAGCTGGAGCTCGGCGCTGATCCTGGCACTTCTGCTGAGCCCTGAAGAAGCACCAGTCAGCTGGAATGTTGCCTTATCTCCAGGGTCTTGTGATATACATTCAGATGCATGGGGTCATGTGAAGTGACCAAAACCTGCTGCAACCACCCAGCAGACGTGGGGAATAAAAACCACACACATCCCACCCCACCCCCGCTGCCAATCCTCAACAGAAATGCTCACAACAATGGAAACCTCGGACAGGAGGAAGAGTGCCATCAGGTGGGCAGGCAGGTGTCTCGCTCAGCTGTGGCTTGGGGGGCACTTTTTTTAGTGCCATTGTAACTTTGAACAGTCACTAAGCGAACTGTTGTAAGTTGAGGACTACCTGTACTTCATCACTTTTTTCCTTTTGGGGGGGGTCATCAAGTTTTTGACACCTTGCTAGGCGACTGGTGGTACTCAGATGTTGCCATATCCTAAAAGTGGTACAATGGGTCAAAAGGTTGAAAAGCCCTGCATTACAAGTTCTTCACTGGCTCCCTACATGGTTCAAACTATGGGTGTTTACAATCAGAGCCCCCCATTCATAATCCTATATTTGTCTGCCTTGTTTCCTCCTGCTAGTTCTTTGTGTTCCCCTGGGGCAAAATTGTCTTTTAGTTTGCCATTCCAGGATTGCAATCTCTGGGCTCTGGGATTTCAGGTCTCAAGCCTGAAAATCTAGAAATCAGCCTTCTCCTTATCTTCATCTCTCCAAATGTGATAGTTTTTAATGACCCATTTTATTTGACTAGTGGATTAGCATGAGGCTTGGTTATTCTACCCTACTCAGAGTAATAAGAGTACTTTCCAAGTTATGGTTAGTTTTATATTAATCATGGATGCACACATGTTCTGGAGTATTTTAGGACATCCTTTTAATATGTAAGTTGTTGCATTTGTTTAATTCTAAATATTGGTTTTACTGGTTGATTAAGTTATGAACACATTTTAACGGGTGGAATTTTGTAACTATTTTGTTTTTGGATTGGTACTGTGTCTTGATCAAGATGTATAATAAATAATTATGCACATTTTCTAACTAAGAAAATTTACATTTTAATTATGATATAATAATTGTTATAATAAGGCGACATTCTGCATCACGTTTGGTGCACATGCTGATCCCTACTTTACCTACAATCTTGTCTGTAAGACCCCAAAAACCTTTCACATGTACCTGTTCCACTTGTACCCACTTCTTTCCTGTCACTCTCTTCCAAAGTGTGGAACTTCAGATCATAAGCATTCCTCAAGGCACTGATGTCTTCCTCAAGCCGGAAACGAGATTCTTGTTCAGCTTCATATTCTGCCTTCAGCTGGGCCAGCTTCTCCTCATACTCCTGAAAATGGCAGGAAAATCAGCCAAGGCAATCTATTGTAATGCATCTTTGAACCACCCAGAGTTGCTTTGTAGAAAGAGATGGGTGGCATATAGGGTAAATTTAATTAAAATAAATAATACAAAATCCTCTAGCCCAGTGTTTCTCAACCTTGACAATTTTAAGGCATGTGGACTTCAACTCCCAGAATTCCATTGGCTGGCTGTGGAATTTTGGGAGTTGAAGTCCACATGCCTTAAAATTGTCAAGGTTGAGAAACACTGCTAGCCTATCTTACCTTCTAGACTAGAGGATGTGTTTGTGATTGACAGTGACTTTAAATCTTTTAAGCACAAAACAGGAATTATAGACTTGCATTCCAATTTACTTAGTGGATGCCTAGTTGTGGAGGCTTTTATAGAAGCTCAGTTTTGTGACCTTGGCAGACTTTGTTTTCGCTAACCTAAAGCTAAGTATAATTAGCCTTCATTATTCTTGTATGGAAACCACTTTGAATCTCCAGGGCTATAAATTATAAGTTATTTCTGGAAAGCTAGCTTAAGCCAATGACCACAGATAGTTAACCATGCCTTAATAATGTTAAAACGGTGAACAATATTTCAGAAATGCCTTCTTTTTTAGTTGTGTTTTCTCAAAATGCCACATCTTGAAGTTCACAAACAAAAACAGACAGCTGAGATCTTATGGACAATTGTTTTCAGAGATAATGCCACCTTCAAAAAATATTTCCAGGGAAGTTTATTGACACCATCACTTTTATCTTTAAGCTCCCAAAGTAGCAGCATCTTTTTTGCAGGCTGATGTAGAAGCCTCACCCGCACCAACACACTTCTTTAATGAATCAATTTGAAATGTATGTTTTCAAAGGGAAAAGAGCCTCATGATTCAGCTTCCTTGTTGGGTGATTTTGTTATTCCCTAAAAGTCAGTTAACAGGGTGTCTATACTAGAAAACCCCTATGGCTCTCAATCCGCCATGCTGGCTAGGGCTTACGTGAATTAACCTATCTGGAAGATCAGATTGAGGAAAACTTCAGCATAGAACGTCCTTCCTGTACCAGCGTTCAGAGGACAGGGCCAACTTACTTCTCGGATTAGTTGCTTCTCTTTCTCAACATCTGCCTGGAACTCAGGAGCAACTTCTAGCTTGTCCTCAGGTTGAACCGCCTCAGGAGGTAACAAGTGAGGACATTCCACTAAGGAAGGAAGGAAATACAGTAACTGAAAAAGCTACATGCCTTAAAGGCTTATCCATATTGAACCCTTCTGTTGCTCTTCTCCTGTGCTCATGCCGGCTTGACACCAAGACACTTGGGCAGCAGTTTTCAAGGAATTCAGTCTGGATGGCCGGTTGCTACATCCTCCTCCTACACAATTCTTCCGCTGCTGTCCCAACCCACTTTTCTGTTTCAAGAAAGCAAGTCTTCTAGGACATATATATATTTATATATGTCTATCATTGAATTGAATAGCGAGAATTAAAAGCATTGAAGTGTATATATGTGTAAGCACAACAATCAACAAAAATTAAAATTCCCTTTTATTGCCCTATTGTTCTCTTTATGTCTTCTAGAGTTCTACAGCTATCTTGATTACCGTAATGACACAATGGTTGTAACAACCTTTATTTGGTTGGTTGTTGCTTGAAACTCGGCAGAAACTTGCTTTAAGCAAACATTACATTTGTTCCTCATGAGCTTCCGTAAATTAAAAAAAAGGAGAAAATGATATAATCATGAATTTATTAAAAAAATAAATGCATGAGAGAAAGATAATCCAAAGAAAAATAGTAAGTTTATTTTTAGGTTTCTGCTGGGTTTTGACCTAGTGACTTTCTATTCAGAAGGTAGGCTTTCTAACCTTTGTTCCTGGTAAAAGTAACTCTAGAATATATTAGAGACCAGAGTAATCACTGATTCAGTTCAGAAGGCATTTTTAATTTTGTTAATTAATTGGTGAGCTGCTGGGGTTATCTTGTAAGAAAGTAGAATGGCAAGGAGCATTCAAAATACTACTTAGGGAAATGTATTGCTTTAAAAATGCAGGAAACAAAATCCCACCTCAAATTTGCAATGGGAGGAGATAAGTATGGGGTGAAATTTGCCTGGTCTTGATTTAAGAAATGGTTGCTGGTCCATTCTAGCAACCAGGTAATCACACAGTGCAGATAAGCCCAAGATGATTTGAAAATGGTCCTGGCAGCAAGATTCTTCTGCTATATTATAGTGACTGAAATTACCACAACTTCTACAACTGGGATACTGTCTATGTTAATTCTGGATAGATGAACTTTCAACATTTTGTTCCTTTCATTATTTTAGCACGGGAAATATGTGCTTGTATTTAGCTGCTACAAGCAGTCTAGATTTTTGTATCCACAATTTGAGGAAAAAGCATGATTTCCCAGAATGTACAGTATGAGTACTGGATTTCTGGGAAAATGCCATTTCCTCCCCACCATTTAAAGAGACTTTTAAAATATCAATGCATCATGGAAAAATGGTTTGCCAACATCAAGAGCATTTTAGATCTTAGATATATGATCTAAAAACTCATTAAAGTCAGTAAAAATACTTTTGGAAGCTTATTAGATTTCCCCAAAGCATGTTAAAAAAAGAAATTAGCTGTTATCCTTTCCATGGTTGAGATGCAATATACACAAAGGAACTCTAGTACACATTTTAAGATTACCCTCACTGGGAATTCTTTATTGGTTATATGTTATTACTAGGGTGAACTAATTTCTTGGGAAAAAATTAAAGTTGAAATAAGCTAAAGGATTACTGAACTATATTCCAAAAATTGGGATTTATCAATGTATGAAGGTCTTTGGATAAATTGTGCTTGGATATCTGTATAAAAAGTATTACATTTGTGTAGCAGATTCTAAATGTTGGTTCAATGTAATTTGTTGAATTAGCTTTCTTTTGATAGAATGGCAAGATCAGGATAATATCATTTGATTTGATCTTTTTCTTGGAGATATCAAGGATGGAAATCTGAGGCTTCTTTACAAGCAGCACACTTTCTATCATTTGAAAACAAAACAATTAAAAAGAATTGTCCCTGGAAATAAATAAAAAATATACCCAGTGTTCTTATTCCTTCACAAACATTTTCCATTTTGTTCCTCCAGGGCCTCGCATCTCTAGTCATTGAATGCAACTTGCGTAAACATGTTCTTAATTCTTCCTTTCACTTGTCAGACAACTAACGGGAAAGTGGACAGTGTCCCTGCTTTGTAATAATGCAATGGATGTCATTGTTGAAGAAGATAAACTTTTTTCAAGCAAACAACCCAAGGAACCTACACAATAGATAGGACCTTGGTGCTCTCTGAGCTTAGTTCTTTTTTTGCAGACGTTTCATTACCCAAACTAGGTAACATCATCAGTATTAAGACAAATGTACCATCACCAACTAAATGGGCCTTACCTTGTAAGTTATTCAGGTTCATCTGCTGAGCCAAGATAGCTCTCAGATGCTTGATTTCCTCCTGGTACTCCCTCAGGAGAGCATCTTTAGGGTCCTCATTGATGCGAGGCTTGTTGCGGATGTTCTTGGCTCGGTGGGCATAGCGCAAACTGCTAAGAGTCTCATCATAATTGTTGTCAGCAGGAGACAAGCATGCCACCATAAGTGTCTTGGTATTACCTCCAAGAGAATCCTGCAGCACCCGAGTCAGTTTGGAGTCTCGGTAAGGGATATGCCTGCATCTTCCATCTGCCAGGGCTGAGATCACATTGCCAAGTGCTGAGAGAGACAGGTTGATTTTGGTGGCCTCTTTGAGGCGCTCACCAACAGCTCCAGTTTTGGACTGCCTCTCACTCCCAGCAAGGTCTACCAGATTGAGCTTTGAAGCCCTCAGATGATCTTGACCTCTCTCGTCTGGATAAAAAGAATGAATCTGGGGTGATCAAAGTTCTTGAAAGAGAAAGTAGCTCCTATATTGTACGTTATAGTCTTCACCAACCTGACATCATTCAGATTACCTGGGATTGCATCTCCCAGACTTCCCAGCCAATAAGGTTGTTAGCTCATCTGTTACAGTCCAACCTCATCCAACATGGGTCAGATTCAGAAAAGCTGTTCTAAAATGTAAGGAATGCATACTTCCTCTGCCAGTGATAAGAAAATTATTTCTGTTCATTTCAGGTGTCAGAAAGTGTATCTGCAGGCATTTCAAAAACTGAACCATGTGGATCATGTTTACTCAAGGATAAAATAAGATAATAAAGTGAAGCATCTGAATGAACTAACACACTCCATTCCTCCATTACAATGTTCCTCTACATTAAAATGTATAAGAAAAATGTTTTTATTTAATTTATTTTAAATATTTATATGGCTGTCCAACTCAACCAATGTGACTTTGGGAGCTGTAGAACAAAAATGAACATTAAACAAGATTAAAATAATGCTACATGTCATTAAAAAATAAATCAGATGTGTAAAATAGCAAACTGAACAGCTTGCACTAAAAAAATTAAGCTAAAATGATGTAGTTTGCTTGGTAACACACAACACCAGCCAAAGTGATTTTGGTTTAGTGTTATATGTGAATTAGGTTTCCATTAGTTGTTCAACAAACTACCGGTATGATTAAAATAATTTTTGCCTTAACTATGTGAAACCAATGATAACCTGGCTAGAAATAAATGATATGAAGCAGCTATGCACAATCTTCTATGACAGTATAAGAGAATCGGGAGCATGATTTTAAGATTTGTAGTCAAATGAAAGATTTCATAGATTCCACTATGCAATATCTTTACAGGTAGCTGTTATTGCTTGAAAGAAAACAGCCTTGGACAGCCCAACTTTTATACAACATCCACAGATCAATTGTGGAACACAATTTCATTTTCACAGGAATTAAATTTTTTTTTTATTCTTTTCTCCCTGCTTCACCAGCAGAGATCCAGAAATCTGCTTTATGCTATCCCAACCCACCACCTTACCCATCTACATTTCATTTTTACCTACAACGTAGATTTCCATATTGATGGTGAAGATAGAATGGGAACGCGAGGAGTCCTTGTTCATCAAGGTATAGCCCACTGCACGATTTTTCCAGCCTGTCTCCATGATGCGCTCGCACTGCGTGATACTATGTACTGTGTGCTGTGAAAGACCCTTCACATACACCCCTTTCTCTGGATGTTCTTTCAGCTGAAAGGAGGGTCATTAGAGCAACAATTACAATGAAGGCTGCAGAGAACTGTATAGACTAAGCAATGGCCAGCAGCTCTGTTTCATCAAGTGTCAGGGCAGTAATCAGGTGTCCAGGCAACTGGTTATTTTGGATCCAGAATACAATAAGCACAAAGTGAATAAAGGGATTTAAGCTTTATTGTGAGCTCAAGCATAACATAAAAAAGCACACTTACCAAACAAGATGATACCCAAATCCCTTATAAGCTGCCAGGAGCTCCAGCAAATATACCTCAAGGGGGTCCAGTTTTCACAGTACCACAGTATTGGGTTTCACGTGGAAGCCCCCAACAAACAATAACAACTCTACATTTTTTATCAAAACTTGGCAGTCATGGTCCTGCTATGGTAAGGAGACTGCAGGACCTGATCCTGACTGGCTGACACATAATTCTGGGATGGGAATTGAAAGTCTGAGACTTTCACTGTGGGAAAAGCTTTGAAACTACATGAAGATCCCCTGCCTCTTCATCTTTGTTCAGTGAGCAAGAGTGAAAAGCAAGCAGGCTACCTCAGGTTGAGGTTCTGGCGGCCTGATCCAGGCACCGGAGGCCTTCTCCAGGCCGCTGCCGCCTGGATCTGAGGGTAGGGGATGCTTCTGCGCCCCTCCGGTGGCACGATCTGGGCGCCGGAGGCCTTCTCCAGGCCATTGCCACCCGGAAATGAGCTGCTGGAGGGCCATGGAAGTGTCCCCCGGCCTCAGATCCGGGTGGCAGCAGCCTGGAGAAGGCGTCGGTGTCAGGATCGGGCCACCAGAGGACCGCGGAAGCATCCGCCAGCCTTGGATCCGGGTGGCAGCCAACAGAATAAGGCATCCGGCGCCCAGATCGCTGCCCTCCGGCTTCAGTTCCATTCTCTGTTGCAGAGAACAGAGATCTAAAGTACCATGAGATCACTCAAGATCAGTAGTGTAAGATCTCGCCCCACTGATCTCGCGTGATCTTGTGTTACTTAAGGCCTCCATTCTCTGTGAATGCACCAAAGGCCTGGAGCAGCCAAGAAAGCAAAGGATCTTGATCTTTGCAAGGTGAGTATTGAAGGCCTGGTGCCTAGGGAGACCCGGGGTGGGAGTGGGGAGGGAGGGAATAACCAGGGTGAGTGTTGCAGTGCCACTGCAGCTGCTCGTAAAGGTGAACGACTGCCGTGGTGCTGCCATATTCGTAATTTTGGACTTGCTTGTAAGCACTAGGTGACGCTTATCGCGTAACTTCAAATGAGCATTAAGTGAATGCTTGTAACTCGGGGATTACCTGTACAGTATAGTATAATGGTGTTTTACTACTAAACGAATCCCCTGCTACTGAGTATCCAAAGGGATAATTTCTCCTTTTTTATATAATTTTATAAAAAAGTTTAAAAACAAAGGCAAAAACTAATACAAACTAAGATAATGTAAGGAAAAGAAAAAGAAATCAAAGAGAACGCTAACAGTGCAAGAAAGAAAGAAAAAGTAAAAGAAAAGTGGAAAAGAAAGAAAAAAGATACAAAGAAATGGTTTCTGATCTTCTTTACAGCAGTTACAAGTACAATTGTAGATTTACCTCTTCCTCTAAGTTACATCATGACTCTTCTTTCTATATCTCCTCTCATCTAAAGCATAAGTTCATTTTTTCTGTTTTATGCAAAAAGTCTATAAAATGTTTCTAATCAGCAATAAACATAGATATCTTTTCTCTAACCAACATGTCAATTTTTCCGTATCAGCAAGTTGTTTTATCTTCACTCACCATTTCTCCATTCTGAGAAAACAGACATGAACATAGACATGCAGAAATTTGGCCCTTCTTGATTTTAACTGATGGAGAGAGACGGCAGAACCCACAATGTTCAAGAATTTGTCCCTTCAGAATGGAGAAATGGATTACCCTAATTTATTGCTTAATTCAATGTGTTACTTATTGGGCTAGCCTGTCCCATTTTTGATTTCATGTCGCTAATAAATTTTTCACTGTATAACATATATTCTTGACAGTTTCTTTTGCTCACACTGAATTGTCAGAGCTTAAATTTCTGGCAATTGTTGGGATGTTTGACTTACTTCATACTAAGTTCTTGCCCTGTTAGTCTGTTGTCCTCACCTCCAGTTTCTGCTTGGTGTTTGGACCCAGGAGGTCTCTGATTTCTTCATTATAGATCTCTAGGTAAGAGGCTCTCACCAAAAACTTGGTGTTTTCTGCACACTATAAAAATAAAATAAAAGGAAAAAATATTTCTTAGATTTCCAGTCTGAGAATTTATTTGGTGGGGGCAGGGAGATTTATTTCCCATGGGTACATAGGTTGATCCTATTTTCATAGGATCTGTGACTGAGTTGTTGTACTCCAACACTCTGCAACTACCAACGCAGCATGTTAAGAAAATGGCTTATAAATGCACCATTATTAATACTACTTACTTAGACCAGTAATGCCAGGGCAACATACATTATCGTTACCTTCTAGAATATGTTAGCTCACATTGTGTGTGCACGCATGTTTGGAGAAAATGTTTTAAAGAAATCTTCAAAACAGTTGATATAGTTTGAACCTCCCAATGACTAATACAAAATCAGAATGTACCATCAAAATACATTGTAGGGAGGAGGTTCACTTATAAGCAGTGCTTTTTTTTCTTAAAAAAAAAAAAGGTGCCAGAACTCACAGACGTCATACAATCTGCCTTGCCTACCCTACAAGGTTCCATCCAAAAAAGGTGCCCGAAGTCTGTTCTGGGCGTTCTATGAGAAAAAAAGCCCTGATTATAAGAACTCTTATCTTTTGCTATCACTGGAAAGATATCATCATATCTTTAGTCACCATTTACTTCTAGAATTCTAATTACTTATTTTGTGTAATGAATCCTTCTGCAACCCTAGTCCAAGGTACCTGAAGCAGAAAATCTAATTTCAAGGAAAAGGTATGCATAAAATAGTAAAAAAATGATTTGGAAATGCACAACAATATATGGGAAATATGTTTTTAATAAGTTGAAGGTCATTCACAATCTCTCAAGATGTAGTCCTTAAAATTTTGAAAATAAAGAATAGCATCCACTGAGAATAAAATATGGAATACATGTCAAATAATAAAATATAAAGAGGATATTTCATGTGAACTAACACAGATCAAAACCTTTTAGGAAAATTTCTTATAGATGAATAGATGTTATACAAGAGCATGATATAACATTTTTGTTAGTACTCTTTTAATAAGACCTGTGCAAATTTTCTTGATAGAAGTTATAGCTAAAACTGCTTGTTGAAGTGTATCACCATACCATGATTATTAGAGTTGAGATTTATTTCTAATATCACTCCTCAACATATTATAATTATTATACACATACAAATATACACTTATATATTAACAAATAAAAGAAACTTATATATGTGTATGTGTACAAGCACAAACACATAATGCCACTGTTGACTTTAGGAGAATTATATTCTAAGCCTTCTCTGTTGTATGAATAAGTTCAATCATATTTGAATATAGTCATATGAGTATCAGTAAGGAACATTATTAATAAATAATAGTCTTTTTAATAAAATGGAATTATATTAAATTTTACTAAATCTAACTCATGCTTGTGTTGTTCAGGATCTCTCTTTAATGTTTCTGCAGTGAAAGACTGGTAACACCTATCTGTAAGAGAGTAGGTAGACTGGCTGGTTATTAGATAGAAATGCATTTTAATATTATGCAGTGATGGAAATCAGCACATCCACGAGGAAATAAGAGCACATGAACCCACAGTAGCTAAACTATAATGGCTGAGATAAGACAGTTTCTTAATGAGGCACACAAAGTTGTTGAACTGGAGTTTCTGGAAGAAGAAACACAGAAGAGTCAGTGGTTTAAACAACAACTAGATACTGTTTTGTACATTTTTTATCAATGATATACCTGCACACTCTCAAACAAATGTTCAAAGGCTCTGGGAATGATACCCTTCTGGGTAGGTGGGTCCAGAATCCCTTGCATGGTAAAAGATTTCCCACTGCCTGTCTGCCCATAGGCAAAAATGGTCCCATTATAGCCTTCTGTAACACCCTGAAAAAGAAGAAATCAATTAATCAATCAGAATAATAATAATAAACAATTTGGACTTGTATGTTTCTACCTCAGTATCTGTCCCGTCTTACTGGATCCTCTTTCTAGCAACCTAATCAGGAGCATGCTTGCGTGACTAAACCTGTCCAAGAGTTTCAGCAATCTCTTCTTATAGACACAGAAATAGAATCTGGAAATGGAAATTGAGAGGCCAACATTCAGGCCCATTAACTAAGCATCTTTGGACAGGTGCTTCAACAAAAATAAAGATGCAAATTAATAGGGAAAGTATTCAGTGGCTTCTAGGAAAACACCAACCAACTTTGTGTAAATTCTGCAACTGACAAATTTTGAACAAGCAAAATAGTATAGCTTGCTCCAACCTGGAATTGGAATTCTCATTATCCTCCACAAGATTGCCCAAAATTCTATATAGGAGTAAGAGGTGAACGAACGAGAGAGAATGAGGAAAACAAACCTAATAATCTATTGGAGGTAAAGATGTAACATTTGCAGTCATGTTTCTATCGGAACAGAAATTAAGGGGGACTATTTCTAAGTATTCATGTAAAAATCTTTTAAATGTGCATCCTGTTACGAACTAATGTGAAACATGGGGATTTTCATAAATATAATTTCTATATACTTAAAGCTCAAGAGCCTTTTTAAACATCTGAGTCAATAACTTATCACTTACTGGGATCACCCGACAGATGCACTCTCAGACTGCTCCATCCAGGTAAATCATGAAACTAATGTTCATTTGCACAACAAACTTAATCCAATCTACAAATAACCTAATCAATATCTCCTTCCCAGTGATTCTAGTAGAATATAATCACTCGGATAGCTGATTTACATGATCAAGTTGCCTTCGTATGACTAATCATTTCTTAAGTGCAAGAATATCCTCTGCCAGCCTCCAGCCACTGGGAAGGCAATCTCTGCTCATCTTTTTCAGTTACACATCAAAATTAGTGTTTTTGGGAACTTCCAGTTTGCCATCGCGGCCGCCGCAGCCACTGGAAGGCAAGCTCCATCTTCCGCGTTTGATTTTGTTCTGCTGGGAGACCCTGGAAAGAGTTGAAAGTTGCCCTGTAGGGGCAAAGAGCAAGGAGGGGACCCCCACTTGATTGCAGGAGGGCAGCAGCCCTTCTGCTTGATCCAGGGCAGTCCTCCAAACCAGCAGAGGAAAGACTGGACATAGCAATATGGCTTGTCACTAAGCTGCAGACAGCCAAAGTCAAACTTACCATCAAGCACTTCTAAAGCAACACGGATGAAACTGGGTGAGATCTGATCTGCTCTTTAAGATCTTAAGTATTTTCTTTTCCTGTAAAAGCTGCCCAAAGTATCTTTTCCCCCTGTGAGGAGAGAGGGAAGGGAATTTCTACCCCATCCTCTAAGAACAGTGGCGACTGACTACCTACGGGAGTTAAAGCACTAAAAGAACAAATTTAATCTAATTGGATTTATATGTTTCTGAAACTTGGGGACCAAAAGTTTTCTTATTTTTACTGGAGATTTTTATTTACAAAAAAGAAATAAAACTGGAAAAAGGATTATAGAAATTTTGGACTTAAAAAACTTTAAACGGCATCGGTGACATCTTATGGCGAAGTCTGGTATTACAACTTGTTATTGCCTAAAAGAGACTTGGCTTGAAGCCCAGACTTCAGATAAAACGCTTTGGACCTTGACAGATACCACTTGTGAGAAACTCAGCTGTAAAGAGAATTTCTGGGCAGCATAACTAGCCTGCTTGAACTATGAATGTAAACCTTTACTGACTTTCAGAGCTATATGTGGGGAATTGCTTTCCTATTTCTTTATCTGAGGAACATTGGTTATTACATGAGATGATGAAATATCTTGGACTAAAAAATCTTACTTGACAAATGACTTCTACTATAAAAACCACCTATAATACATGAAATAGAGGTCCCATATCTAGTTATAAAACTATTTTTAACATCAGATTTTAAAGTCCTCAACTTAACACACTATTAAGAGAATATAGATGAAGACCAGGAAAAGATCCTTTCCATGTTGAAAGCAATACATGAAACCATTCTTTCAGCTTGTGACAAAATAGATGCAACATAAAGGAGCAAGATGCCAGCTTAGATATACAAACCCAAATTTTGACTACAACCAAAGAACTAACAACACAGAAGATAACAGAAGAAGTGGAACAATCAAATACTAAGATAGAGGACTAAACTGACCAATAAATACAGTTAATGGAAAATCCAGAAAAGGGAGTGACAACACTGAAAATGGAAAAGACTTTCTATATAAATCAGAAGAAATTTGAGGAGAAAGAAGAACAGATTGAATGGAAGATAAACATATCAGGACAATCATGGGGAATTGGATAATAGGGAGACGATCTAATGAACACAAATGGTCTAGCCCGTCCAAAAAAAATGGCAACTAAAGAGTCTCTGTTATTTCAAATAATATATATATAATAATAGAGGGAGATCTATTTGATGATTTAAAAGCACTGACATGGAAGGCTAGTTGGCAAAAGAAGAAAGCCAGAATAAGGCTGAAGAAAATTGGGGTTTTGATTTATTAGAGGGGATTTCATATTACTAATTAGAGGGTTAAAGGGAGTAGTTGAGATAAGGGGAATTTTGGTAATTAAATTTAAAATATTTGGAAATTAATTGAAAACAAGGATTCTATTTTTTTAATATTTAAATATTAGACCCAAAAGAAAAAAAATATGAGTATATTTGATTTATTGATCAACCCAGACAATATATATAATGGATTTGATTTATTGAAGGGGATACTGTATTATTAGATGATTTAATATGGTGGGAAATAGATAACTTTTAGAAAATAGAACAAGACTATACTCAAATAGATAAGATGTGTATTTTGAATATTAGATTCTGTTATGAATTGAGATAAGGGAAACTTTGGTTACCTAAAGCCTGGAAATTATAAATATCAAATGTTAAATTTGAATATTGATGGGAAACTAAAAATTGGGAAAAAACCAATAACAGAACATTGATCTGTCTTTAATTTTTTGATCTGTCTTTAATTTTTTTTAAACAATTTACCATAATGACAGCAGTTGTTGAGCTGTTCTTGGGGCTCAACTCACATCCTTATTGCAACATTAATTTGGTGATTTTAGACTGTTATAACAAGTCTCTAGAGTGAAACAACCCAGCAGTTTTTGTTACAAGAACTGAAAGTTTTATTGACTTTGTTTATTATGTTTTGTACTATCCTCTTCACCTGCAGTTTACAATTGGACAAAGGAAGCTACAGACAAAACATACTAAAACCTGCTGGGAGATGTTCTTTCTCTCTGTCAATTGACTTCTGGCCACTAACTGTTCAATAAAAGCAGATCTTAAAAATAAAAAAAAATTGTCTATAAAGATTGAATGTAAAAGTAATTAAGATATGTATAAGTTAAAAATTTATTGATAAATGTAATAATGATGTTTTTACTTAGTTGATATAATAAGAATTGTATTAGCTTAAATATGAGATAGTAGATATTAATGGAAAAAGAGAGGAAATATTTGATGTTGTAACTTGAGATTTGTACTAAAGTTTTTTATGTTATTGAACTATTGATTAATCAAGCCACCACATTGCTTTTTAAATACCTAGATGTAAAATTAGAAAACTAATAAAATATTATTAAAAAAACAAAACAGTGTTTTGTCATGTGTCCCAGCACAAGCAGCTACCACATTGTACAATATTGTGTTTTGTACAATGAGTGTTTTTTGATGCACTCTGTCGGCCCAAATATGGGAGAAAGAAATCTCCCCTTGTCTCTTCCTTCCCTGATAGAGCTGACAAAGTGAGAAAGAGCCTGTGGATCAGAGGTTAACACAGCTGCTTAACATGTAAGCAGCCCAGGTTCGAATCTCAGAAGGGTATGTTTGGCTGAAGAGAGCTAAGAAGCTCGAAATAGCTATTCCATCCTCCCTCATTCTTTGTTAGCAATCCAAAAAATGTATGATATATATACATACATATATATAATGAAATTTGTAAGGCTGCCCAATTTATATTTTATGATTCTGGGCAATGTACTATAATAAAAAACAAGAATGGTCAAAATCCAACCCTACATAATTTGGAACCTACATAACAAACCATAATCACGTGTATAATTAAATCTGAGTTTGACAAGTACTCACTCTCAAAGCAGAATAAGCTCTTCTTGGCCTAATGCAATTATAAGCAGATGCCTTTATTCCAATTAGTTATCGTATTTGAGATCATTATTTTGGGAATAGAGAACCCTTCTTCTCTCCTGTTTTTTTAAATAAGCTTTTGGGCTGGAATACAGTTACAGTATCACACCACCAGTAATCTGTTCCAGGCAGACACAATGGACATTGCTTGTTTCTGCAGTCCATCAGTCTTTGGGAGGGATGCTCTGAGCTATCCAGCACTGTTATAAGGGAGAGGCCAGCTTCTTCAGACATTGTATCTTTGGGTTTTTTTCTTGGAGATGATTGGGCATGGGTTGACTGAGTTTAGGAGTTTATGTGACACAATTGATCAGGGAAAGTTAATTTAATCTAAAACATTTTAATTTAAAACTTTAATCCACAATTGATTGGTTACCCCATTCTTGGCATAGTCAAGTATATTGTGCAGACCAGACATAATGTGGTTTTTGAACCACAAGTATAGCTTAAGATGTTGAGTGATTCCAGCCAATTTTAACCATATTAGTCCAATTTAAATCATATTAAGCCAGCCACAATTTATCATGATCTGCTTATAACTGTAATATTTATATACTGTAACTAATTTGTATGATACCAATAACACTGATCACTTTCACTCACCTCTATCACCGGGTAGGCAATTTCATTATAGATCTGTTCCGTATTGTGGTTCATGTAATATGCCCCATCAAAAGTGAATTGTTTGGGAGGATCTTCTTCAGCTATAGGGTTCTGGATGAAGCACTGGCCACGGGCACTGTCCATATTAATTACTACCTTGCAGCCAAGCTGTTTTTCACGTTCATTCAAAGGGCGGCAACGCACAATCACTTTCACTGCTTCTGAGGCCATGGCCAAGATCCATGAACTCTGACTTGTTGGTGTGTGTGTGTGTGTGTGTGTGTGTGTGTGTGTGTGTGTGCACTAGGTCAAATTAATTCTAGAGGATGAAATTCCTACTCACTTCTATGGATGTCAGGAGCAAAGTGACCAAAAAAAGGGCAAGTTATAGGCAGCTGTTGTATTCAGATACAACTGGCCTTGGAAACTGGCTCATTTTGCCTGGCAGTATAAGCATTAGAAAACAAATACTTCCTTATGGGTACAGTCAATGCAAAGAGATGTGCCTGAAGCAATGAGCTTTCTAGAAAGAAGGCAGAACCACTAACATCAATTAAAAAGTGCCAGGGATGGAGAAAAAAACCAAAGGCAATGTTGGGCCTGGATGGTAGAGGGAATCTGAAAGACGCAGTTGATTTTCCTTGGTCTTGCTGTGAGAGAGGTAGTGATATGCTACAGCAGAAGGTTCCAGGTTTCCATCTCCCACATAACTAAGCTGTGAATTTGTACAGATTCTGGGGACAGTTTTCTATGGGACACACCTAGAACCTACTTATGACCTCACAATACCTCCTAGAGACATAGAAGGCCAAGCGGTGAAACGGAGACATCCAGCAAATTATCTCCGTTTGTTTCATCCAAGGTTGATGCTGTAGCAGTGAAAGGAATACAGGGCCCCTCCACCACTCTGAATGCTGCTGATCCAGAAACAGGCTTTTAGGCTCAGAAACCATGTACCTCTGCTGCCCCCCTCCCCCAAAAGGCCTCAATGTTATTAGGCACTTTGAATTATGCCTGTATGGAAAGAGCACAGGGTTTCCATTGGGAAGCTGGTGAGAAATTAGGCACTTTTCCTGATCAGTTTGACCCTAAGGATAACTAAGCGCTGTGTCTTGGAAACAGGAACATGGTGCATTCAGTCAAGCAATGGTCCCATCTCAAGCCTGGTGCAATAGACTTAGCTCTTTCACCAACCCCTGCTCTTTGGCAGGATATCAAAACAGGTGAAATCACAGTGGAAAGAATAAAATGCCCTTCGGAGTGCCACCTTCACTTTGGCAATCTGTGGTCAGAGAGTGAATGAAGAGTGTGAGGCTCACACTAAGCTTTGGAGTAGTGTCAGAAAAATGGCAGGAGACAAACACACAAAAGGCAGCTGTGCTAAGTCATGTTCCAGTAACAAAGAAGTGCCCGGCAAGGTATTTGTGTCTTGCATGTGGGGCAGAAGGCTGGGGGCTGAAAACCACTTCACCTGTACTGACCTGGGATGAGCTGGAGGGGGGAAAGGGGGAAAACACTGTCTATAACCTATTTATTATTTGAATGAAAAGGGGCAGAATGATGCATGAATGGAGGGATGGGGAAGCTGAGAAAAGTTTAGCGAGTGCAAGAAATATGGCATAAAGCAGAGATGCCCAGCGAAGTAGGAAGCTCAGGGAAGCAATGCTTCCCTTTAGAAGTGGGCAGAGCTTGCCATGCAAAAAAAAACTGGCGAGGGGAAGAAAAAATGGGGCAGTGGTGGAGGGTAACACCCAAAGCGCGGCCTCTGTCCCCGGACCTTCCTTCCGTGTGCCCGCCTCTCACCGTCCCTCTGAGGCAGGTCCTAGCTTGCCCGCCTGCACCCTCGCCCGGCGCCACCGACTTCCAGCTTCTATTTGCAACCTGCGGGGCTGCTGACGGCAGCGTCCCCGTTGCCCAGGATACGAGGGAACATCGCTTAAGTCCCCGAGGCTGCTCAGCGGAGCAACGGGTAGGGAATGTCGCGCAATTATTCTACTCGTTCTTGGGAGGAAAAACAGATTCCGTGAAGACAAGTGCAAAGGCGCATGTTAGGCTGTGGCAAAGCGAGGAAAAGATTTGTGGCACTTTTAAAGATTCTTAGCATTATAATGACATAAACTTTCAAGGATCACACCTCAATGAGTTAGATGCTTGGAGTATAATCCTGAGATAGTATGCTTTTCCTATGGTCTTATTATTTCTACCCTCACAATCACAGATTCACTCTTTTTCATTTTTTGGCGCTCCGTTGCATTCACAAGTCTTGTGCCTTGGCTGTTGGTAGTTGCTTTTTGGAATGTAAAGGAGTATTCAAATTTTTGATGTACCTCAAATTAGAGCAAAAATAAGACACATTCCGATTTTGTAACAAATTTATAGTACTAGTGCCAACTTGGTCTCCGAAGATTCAGAAGGCGCGCGCGCGCGCACACACACACACACACACACACACACACACACTAAACCAAGCTGTTTCCATTCAGTAGCGGTCTGGATTTTTGCAATCAAGGCCTGACTGATCTAATATACGCTGGGGAGAAGCACGCCTGTGGGTCTAATCATAGTTTCAATCATCATCATCATCCCTCAATTTTTTACACATCTCTGTCTAACTTGGCATGGGTGCTATAAAAAAACTTCTGCGCCAGGAAAGAACATCACGGAATATCTACACTAAACTGAGATCCACCCGTCATTTATTAAACTACGCAAAAGACCCGCCGCATGATTATTTTGGGTAGCACACATTGGTTGACTGGAAATCGGAACTCCTCATCTGGGGAGGCGAAGAGAGGGGGGAAGAGCATTTCGGTGCACTGGAGACCGGAAGTAAGTGTATCCCGCGTGGTCGCGGCGAGAGGAACCCGAGGAGAGCGCAACTATTATGGGGAGGCCCAGCAAAGTGAGGACTGAAATTGGGGGGTGGCGAGTTACTTGAAAGACTTTGGGAGTTGTTGAATTTGTGGCCAAGCGCAGGTTTGGTGATGAAGGGGGTGAAAATGGAGAATGAGGGTGCTTTGAGAGGCAACGGAACCTGGGATAAGTGCTGTGGCCGAATTGGTGAATGATAGAAGGACGAAACGATATTAGAAGTCTTAGAAATTGCAAGCCCAATTAGCGAGTGATAAAGATTTAGAAAACTCATTGTTGGCCTGATGCGAGATTGTTGTAATACACCCAGGCTCAGGAAAATTACATAGATGTGTCCCATTTTGTGAGAAAATAGTTGTTCGTCCTTGATTGAAATCCATCCTGATTATAAAGTTGCTGTGCTTCTTAACGTGAGGTTCTAAGATATTTTTTCTATACATATTAATGGGACCATTTCACCTATCTTCCCAGTTGGCTTATTCTTCCTGATACCTGAGTAATTCCAAACAAATGAACTGCAAATAATACTGCAAAACTGCTTTTATGACCAGCTTGGTTTTGAAATAGTTAAAAATTCCTTGCTGCTCTGAAGTTTTTAGGGTAATATTCCATTATTGGATATTTTCTTACCTCTAATCTTTGGTATACAGACATTTGTTAAGAAGAGAGGGGGAAACCAGAGCAAACCTAATCCTAGCAGGCTATGGGAAAGTAATTTGAAATAAGAGAGTAGATTTGGTATGGAGGGAGATATTTGTTATCCTACTAGTGTTATTCTTCATTCAATTCATTTTTCCATTTCAGACCAAGAATCAAAAGAAGGCGCGAGCAACTGCCCAGCATCGATCTCAAGAAGAATATGGCAATGTGCCTCATTCCTTTGTCTTTCATCGTGGTCGTATTGGCAAGAATATACAGCAACTCATCCAGGATGTTCGGCGAGTAATGGAGCCCTATACTGCTACCAGCCTCAAGGTGAAATTATTAAATGCCATGGAAGGCTTCTGTGGTTCATGGAAATGATTGCTTTACAGGTAGTGCTCGCTTAACAACCACAATTGGGATTGGGATCTCGATCGTTGATATTGGGGTCATTTTCTAAATTCCATATGAACAGTTGAAAATAATCTTTCCAAAAGCAAATATTAATTACATAGAGTTACATGTTTATGGAAACAATCTTGTGCAAAACATTTTCACGCTTTATTCAAGTTATAATTACTGGTGCTTGCATTTTATTTTGAAAGCAGACTATAAAATGAGGTGAGGACAGCAGTTAAAAGTATGAGAGACTAAGAAGAAGAAGGAAAACAACTTTGCTAAATATTGTAACATGACAAAAGGAACTAGGCAGATCACTCTAATCTTCAGTCCATTTTTGCAATGCTGTTTACTTCTATTAATGAAGTAAAATTTAAATATATTTTATCCTAGATTTTGTCCCCAAAGCACATCAGACAATGGAAAAACCCTAGTCATTGTTATGTCTTTTTAGGCGCAGAAGAAGAATTCGTTGAAAGATTTTGTGACAATAGCTGGACCTCTGGGTGTGACTCATTTCTTGGTCTTCACAAAAAACACCACCAGTATCAACTTTGTAAGTGATATATTAAGGAAATGTTCCATTTTAAGAACCTATGACCCTGGTTGTCCGTGCTAATTGGTCTAATCTGGGCCTCTGTTCAATTATATATTTTGGAGAGGATTTGGAGCATGTTCTGACCTGGCGCATAGGTTCAATTTTCATGCAATACTACTACATCTTGTTTCCACACAATGTGAAGAGGAGATATACCTAGAAGATGGCCATCTCCCTGGTTGCATGTGGCAAATCAGCCCTGTTATATGTAGGTAGAAGTAAAATCGGAAAGCTTCACTGGAACTAATCTTGAATCAGTCAGGATAAAATTTTGTAGCTTCTGGTAAATGAGCAGGAAAAAGACCTCGGAGCTGTGGTGAAGTAGTAGTTTCATGACAAGTATGTACGTGTAACAAATTTATTCCTTGTTGAAGACTGTAAAAAAAATATTGAAAATAAAGCTGTCAATATTGTAAAGCCTCCTGAATATTGCAGGCTTGAAATAAGGTAGGGGAGTTGAAATGATCAAGAGATAGAGGCATTTGTCTTTGAGGATATATACAATATTTAAGACTTCGCTTTTTAAAAAGGCAAATAAGAGGTGACTTGCGGTAAAAAGAAATTGGCCCTTATTTAATTAAATATACCAAATACAGACTATTTTATTACACTTTACACCTAGTGTAAAATAATTTGAAGTAACAAATTACACCAGATCTTCAGTCCATTGAACTGGGATGCTGCACTAGCCACAACTTGGAAGGACTGGTTGTAAGTCTCCTTTTTCAGCACTATCATAACTTTCAACAGTTGCTGAGTGAGCAGTTGGTGAGAACTATTTGTAATAATATTAATATTGGAGGAAATGCTGATTATGGGGAAATAAGAGCAGGAAGAATCTTGTGCTCATTTTTCTGCTTTGGGACTTAAGGCATCCAGATGGCAACAGTTGTAAAGAAATAAAATCGTTGAACCAAACAGATACTTAACAATCACTATTTTACATGTTTGAAGGCTTCTGCTTTCACAGTGATTGAATGTTAAGCTTATTTCTTCCCTGAACAGTTTTTAACTTTCTTTGCCCAGTGAATTATCTTAATTCTATCTGCTTACCAGATGCAAATGATGACAATTGTCTTGCTGATTTAATTCTGTGATTTTTACTTCAAAGTAAACGCACTGATGCATCTGTATAAAGAGTGTCCATACCATTGGAAATGAAACAGAAGTAAAAGCTATAAACTTATTAATGTTAGGGCCTGTTTTAAGCTGCTGAATCCTGCAATATTAGTACTTAGGAGTTAATGCTCCTTCCTGGTGATTTCTCTCTTAGAGACTCCTGCGCCTCCCTGGTGGACCAACACTGACCTTCAGAGTCATTCAGGTACCAAAGGGATTATATTATCTAGAATGGGATAGGCTGGGTAGAATTAGAACTGTCTGGAATTTTTCACGGAAGGAGGCGCTAATGCTTACGATTTTAACTGCTTGCGGTTCCTATGGATAGTATGCAGAATTGCAGATGTGTTCCCTAGTGTGTTTGTTCTGTGCTTGGGTGCAAAGTAGGTCTTATTCTCCTCCTTCTCCTCCTGTAACAAAATAATTGAAATTTGAAAACTTTGTGTATTTTTTATATACAATGACCTTGCATAATTAATTTTCTATAAGTTGTTCTGGCCACTGCTGGACATTGCCATTATCTGGTTTCTGAGATTTCACAGAATAGCACATATATTTTCAAACTCCCACTTACAGACTTTATGTAGGTTGTTTTAAGCTGAGATTCTGAGGCAGTCCTCGAAATAGAGACATCCCCTTTGAAAAGAATGTAGGCCTCACTTGTCTGTTTGTTGTTTGCAACAGTATTCACTCATCAAAGATGTTGTGTCATCTCTGAAGCGGCATCGGATGCATGAACAACAGTTTACCCATCCTCCTCTCCTAGTGCTGAACAACTTTGGCACTGAGGGCATGCACATCAAGGTCATGGCCACTATGTTCCAGAACATGTTTCCCTCCATCAATGTTCACAAAGTGAGTATATTCAAGCTTGGAGATTGGGAAGCTAATTAGGCGATTAGTTTGCTACTCAGACTCCTCTGGTCTGATTCCTGTCCTTGTGATAACGTTGCTGCCTAAAAATTGAAGTGAGGGATAGAGCTAAATCTGGTCCAGGAGGACCTCATGTCTCTAATAGGCATAGAGCAGTGGTAGACGAAACCTAAATGGTGGCAAAGTTATTTAAGATACTGTTCAGGTTCTTGGGGATAATTTTGATCCAGATGCAAGTGATGATAGCGTATCTTGGATGATAGTTCTTTGTGATTTCCTTCCAAAGTAAACGCACTGATGCATCAATCCTTTATCACTCAGTTTGCTGGGTGTTTGGTGTTTCTAACACTGAGTTCTTGTTAACTTTGGAGTGCAAGTTTTATAAATGCAGAAATGGAAGAGAGTTACTTAGTTTCAGATCCTCCTCCTCCTCCGCTTCCCAAGTTGAATGTAGTTCTCCCTTTGAGTTGCACAGATATTGTTCAAATATACCTAGTGGCCATCTCTAACTGTGGAAGGGAGAGGGAAGACGTAGGTTAAAGCTCATTCCCACTGCCCGGGTTAAATATGGTTTTAGTCAACACAGAAATAAATTTGCTTTTTGAGAACCTGGAGTTGGAAACTGTGGAGATAAGATGCTCCAAGAAGATTTTCAAAAATGTTCAGGGAAGAAAACAGAGATTTTCCCAGTTTTCCTCTATTCCCCTCCCTCCTAGAAATATTTAAGTCAGTGATAGTTTAGAATTGGATATAAGAACTCTTGGACTTGGTAGTTCGATCTTTGGGAAGTAGTTTGAGTACTGATTTCTTGGCAGCTGGAAAATCTTAACCTCAGGTTGCTTTTCAAGAAAGGGCTGGAGCCTTAGTTTGAATCCTCGGTCTCACCATGTGTGCCCTTCTTTTTCCCTACCTGTCAGGTCAGTTTAAATACCATCAAACGCTGTGTCCTGGTCAACTACAATCCTGACACCCAGACAATGGAATTCCGTCACTAGTAAGTAGGTTTTAATTTCTGCTCTGTGCCACTCTTGCTTCTGATGGTTTGAAATAGACTGCACAGGGATTCTTGATGTGAAATACATTGTATTCAGGGCGCACAATTCTATGGTGCAATATGAGTATGCACTGGGGGGGGGAACTTTTGCAGAGTATTCAGTACTTTTTTGGTATGCTGGAAGCTAAGGGGAATTTATGTGTCCTTTGTTATTTTCATGCTAGCTCTGGGTCCCTGTCCCACACCGGCTCTCCCTAACTTGGTTTGTCCAGATGAATTGGATTCCAATCCTCATCATCCTCAGCCAGCTGAGGGTAGAGGAAGATGGGAGTTAAAGATCAGTGTGTTGGGAAAATGGAGGCAAGGCTTTCCTACTGTCCACAATGGCTCTAATATGACTACAGATTCCATTGCAGACACAAACAAGGTCCTGTCCAAGCTGGATGCAGATGATGAGAGCATAGCCAACTGATGTGTCTCTGATCTCATTTTTCAGTAAACGCTCTGATGTGTCCAAGCCAGTTAGAAATGGACTTTTTTAATGATGGGTGATGGCAGTTTTTTTTTCTGATGAGCTCAGAAATCTTTCCTCTTTTTATCATGCAAACCCAGTCAAGCAAAGAAGAAAACTCATCAAAATATTCATGTTACTAACCAGTGGCTATTCCTTAACTTTTAAGATAGTTTACTGAACAATATAAATAGTAGGTAAAGGAGAAATTAAATACAAAACTCTGCAGATTTTCAAGCAGTCCTCTAATTAAGCCTCCTGACAGTAAAACATTTAAGCATTTATAGAAAAAAAGGGAACTCTTCAGACTATTTTACATCTAACAAAATAAGTATCTTTCCAAGTTTGTATGATCATTTTGTTTTGCAACAGTAAAGCACGCAATATCAATCTCAATCATCTTGTTAATTTTTAAATTGTTGGCATATAATTCAAGAGGAATTGGGACCTGCAGAAACCAGGATAAAACTAATATGTGAAAGAAAGATCTTTGACTACAAAGCTGATTGCAAAAGGAGTAAATTTTAGATGGGTGATACCAGAAGGGATTCTAATCGATTCTAATAATACAAGATAGCGATTAGATTCAGTGTGGAAGGCACAGGATTTTGATAAAAGATATAGAGCATTTCTGGGAGAAAGAACACAATATCAACAAGAGGATGGAAGAAGACAGAGACAGAACAGACAATAGAGGAAACAACTACACAAGTGGAAGAAGAAAAAGAGAAGATGAATCAAGATGAGGGAACAGTAAGAGAGCAGAGGATTACGAGATCAACAAGATCTAAATATAAGTAAATCAAAATGGAGAAGGAAAATGGATTTTTTTCAGTGAATATAAACGGATTGAATTCCCCATCAAGAAGAAAAAGAATTTGCAAACAACTACAGAAATTAAACATTGATATAATTTGTTTGCAAGAGACACATTAAAAATTCATAAATTTTTGGAAAACTTAAAATTTGGAAAACTTTATTACACACCACTCTTCTGTTTCTGAGCAGGGCCTTTATTTTACACTAACATTGAGAACCATAGCAGTTAGTAAACTTAAACAACAGTTGGAGGGTTCATTAGGGTTCATCAGGGTTCAAAGAGCTATATAGGTTCTTGGATCTCCACTTATGGCTGAAGGGTCTTGTTTATTTCAGAGTTTGTGTATAAATTGTTTCTTGTTAATATGAGGACAAGAATAGACCTTCCTGTTTGTACCATCTCTTGTCTTGCATAATGCTGGTAATTAAACCATTAATTTAATCTTGACTGTCTTTTGCAGTCTTATACACTAGACTAGATTGTTGGATTATAACTCCCAGAATTTCCAGACAGCTATTAGCAATTGTAGAGCAACACATCTAACATCCACATCAGTTTGGTGAAGACTGATTTACTCTAATCATGATTCTCAAGCTCCTTGGCCAGAAGAATGGTCTTTTTCGGGCCTGATACCGTGGTACCTTCCCTTGGAGAGATGCCAGGGCTTGAACCAGAGCTAGCTCTCCTCCTGTCCATCCCCCCCGCCGCCGCTGCCTCAACACAGTTGTAGTGAAATGTGCTTTTTTTCCTGATGAAATCTACTCACACCTATCCTGTATTTTGTAGCAGCCTGAAAGTAGTGCCGGTGGGCATGAGCAAAGGGCTGAAGAAGCTCCTGCAAGAGAGATTTCCTAACATGAACCGCCTGGATGACATCAGTGAATTGTTGGTCAGGTGAGAGAGAGGGGGGAGGCTGTCTGCCTGCTCCTTCCATCCAGAATTTAGCTTTCTTTTGAATCCTGGGAGGAATTCTGCAGAGGTGTGAGAAGGGGAGATGATTTGAAGGCAGGGCTGGGGTTGTGTCTTCATTTTACAGTATGTGCACTCCAAACTCCAGTCAGAACCATGCTAACCGAGATTGGTGGGGTTTGTAGTCCAATACATCAGAGTGGGAATTATTTTCCGTGCTGATGGTAGTCATGCTAGAAAGAACAAAAATGTGTTGTTTCATTGCCCTGACCTGCAGAGACATCAATCTCTCTGAGAGCGAAGCTGAGCAAGATGGCAGTCACAATATCACGGAGCTGCCTCAGGCCTGCGCCGGTCGTGGGAACATGAAGGCCCAGCAGAGTGCAGTCCGACTCACTGAGGTCAGTCGGGAATGTTGTCCTTGAGAATTGGGCAGGAGTATTAAAAGATTGGAAATGCTTTACGGACTTTTCACTGAAAATAGAAAAGAGTGAAGGGACAATAAATGGATGTGACTGAAAAAAGAGTAAGTAAAAAGCCAAAGGGATTTTTTTGTAAAATCAAAGAGGGAGGAGGGACGATGAGTACGTTTATAACTGTTGGGAAAAAAGGTCATACTGCTTAGTTTTTCTGATTCTTGCTTATTTTCTAAGTTTTGCTCTTTGTTTTTTTCTCTTTACATTAGTTTTTTACTTATGTAAACAGTCTTAATGATTCTACTAAAAAGTTGGGTGAACGTGGATGTAGCATAGGGGCCTGGTATAGCAGAAAACTGAGCTCTTCTGATCCTCTAGAACAGGGGTAGTCAACCTTGGCTCTTTATGACTCGTGGACAAGTCAACCTTGGCTCTTTTATGAAGTCCACGAGTCATAAAAGATCATCTGGCTTTGGATCATCTGATCATCTGGCTTTGGAATGCGCCCTCCCCCCCCCCAGACAGCCTTTCTTCCTTTCTGCTCAAGATGCCTGAATTTGAATTCCTTTGTCTCTCCTGTGTTGTCTCTGTGTCCAGATTGGCCCTCGGATGACCTTGCAGCTCATCAAGGTGGAAGAAGGACTAGGTCAAGGCAATGTACTCTACCATAGCTTCAGTAAGTATTGTGGCTCTTCTGTTTTAATTCTTCTGTGTTGGGGAGCAGAACCAGAGTATTGATGGGGGCATATTCAAGAACACCTCTCCTATGGTGGCGTACTCTATGACTTAGAGGATAATTAGTGCAGTTGCTCTTCCAGTACTGTTGCAAACATTTCTCCCTTTTTGCAAGATTCTTTCAACTGGAACAAAAAGTTTTTGGGAGATCAGTGTTGTGCTTTGGAGGAGCTGATGAACGTATATCATGGACCTGTTTTAAGAAACCTGAGGTGACTAGCCTTAGAGGTTTGCACTTTTCAAACGTGTGTGCACGAGAGAGAACTGAACCCACTGGCTAAGAACACCTCAACTACCTATTGCATCCCTTGATCTAACAATTTAGGCCTCCAAAACATCCAAGGCCAAATTCAGTGTTGTAGCCCCCCCTTGCACTTTGCAGTTTAAAACAGGTCCATTGCTTGATCACTTCCAACTTGAAAGGAAGTGAAAATTAAAGGGTTGTAAAGTTCCAGGCAGATCCCGTTGGGGTGTGGATGTTGTGGATGTATACTACATCTTTAAGGAAATACCATCGGTCTGAGGCACAGCTAGTTTCATGCAGGTACATTCATCGAATCCTAGGTGTTGGACAGAGTGATTTAGGCCATGAAGACCAACTCGCAGTGCTTCAGTGCAGGCATCCTGATTAGACAATCCCAGACAGATCATTTCTAATCTCTGCTTGTATATAGGTACTGAAGGGGGGGTGTTCCACTACCACATTTCTGGCTAGTTGGTTCCTCTGTTGAACTACTCTATAAAGAACATTTGCTGTGTCATTTCCAGATTGGGCAAATAAAACTCTTCCTAAAACACTAGATTGCTGCTATTAGTCAGTATAATGAATTAGATAAATGAATGATCTATCATTGCAAGCTAGCTCCCTGTCTTCCTACAAATTGATCTGTCTTTCAGCAGTCAAAACATTTCTGCACTCAGTTATTGCTCATCATGGCAGATAGGTTTTACCTGTCTCTTGGTTGCCTCAAGGTCTGCATAAGTGAATGAAGGGGGAAGCTGACCTTAGTGACTCTTCCTTGGGCAATTTCCCATTGGGTAATTTCCTGTGCCTTCTCCCAGTTCACAAGACTGAAGAAGAGATCCAAGAAGCCCTGGTCAGAAAAGAAGAAAAACTGCAGCTCAAGGCTCAACGGCGCCAGAAGCAAGAGGCAGATGTGGCCCACAAAAAAACACTAAAGCAAGCTCATCGGTAAGGGGAGGGAAGACAACAGGCACGCACAGGAGAGCTTCTCTTCCAGGCATATGTCTCTCCAAGGGGGTAAGTGGGAGTGGTGAATGTCCCTTTGGTTGAGAAGATTGGCCCGGGTCACTCATGGAAATTGTCCCTGGCTACAGGAAGAAGAGTCTGGCAGGGATGAAGAGGAAGACGGAGCAAGCGGTCGGGGGAGACAGTGATGCTGAGGACCCTGGAATGCAGGAGCAGCAAAATGTAGACGAGCCCTCTGACGACGATGTGGAATATTACCGCCAGGAAGTTGGGGAGGAGCCAGATGAAGGTCAGTGCCTACTTAGTAGGCTTTTAAATTAGAACAATTGGGAGGTGCAGGAGGGAGAATTTGGGGAGGGCCAGATTTTCCAAAAAAAAACCACGCCAAGATTTCCTCTTGGTTCTCATAATGCTACAAGTTGCGTCTTTTCTGAAGCTGTTTTTCCTCTTTCTGGGTGGGCTGTGGCTTCCTACTTGAAGACCCTATGATCTAAATTGTTGTTGCTGCTTTAAGATCATTCTTTTTTTAAAAAAAAAAAAAGATAAAGTGTTGAGAGTGTAAAAATGACTCTTCTTAACTGTTGTGTTTACTGCGTTCCGTTCTTTCTAGATCTGTTCCCACAAAGCACAAAGAGGAAACGAAGGCTCAGCCAATCTACCACACCCAAGAAAAAATGCAAATACATGCATTCAGTGCAAGGTCAGAGTCAAGAGCGTATGGGGGCTAAAACAACAATGAAACACAAGAAGGCTTCACGGCCTGGTCAGCAGAGGCAGCCACAGAGAGACACTCCTCAACACCGACAGGGGAAGAAGTTGAGCCAGCAGCAGAGGAATACAAGGCAGCACAGGAGGCCACAGAATGTAAAGGAGAAGCAACCCCAGGCTGCAAGACAGCCAAGAGGCAAAAGACAGACTGGCAGTAGGCCTCTGGGATCACAAAGGCAGGGAAAATCTAGACTGGGGCAGAAGCAGGCCTTCAAAGGCAAAAGCACTTTCCGAAAAGCAGGGCATTCAAGGAAGCAAAAGTCAGCATAACGTTCTGAGCCTCTTGCATAGTCTTTGTGATGTGCTGATGGTTTTATAAAATATATATTGACTTCCAAAATCTGCCTCCTCTTCTTTCTTGAGTTGGATTTATATATGCTTTGATATGGGATTGGTTGGAAGTGTCCATCAGCTGGAAAGGGCAGTTGATCAAAGTTCTTTTTAATAGGACTTGAGGCACTTTGGAAGGAGATGAAATAAGGAACAGATGGCAATTTCTTTTGAGGATTAAAATTTTTCTACTGCAATGTAGAAGGTTTCTGAGAAAATAAGTTTTTATTTGATAATCTAGAACAAAAATGGCAAAGAAGGATATACCTATGCCTGCGGATTTTAATTGGCAGGATTTTTTTTTTCTTTAGCAATAAACTCTGGTTCTCCCACAAAGGTTTTCAAAAGATAGCAAATATATTTGGCTTCTTTGTGGGCAGCTGCAGCTCTTCAGAGGCTATAAAAAGAATAATTTGTAAAATTATTATCCCTGGCTAAACTTACTCGTCCAAAATGTAGGGGCAGGTTTACAGAAATACATCCTAGTTGCATTCAGGGGCTCTACATGATTACATCTGTGGAAGTAAATACAAGTAGTCCTTCACTTAACAGCCATTCGTTTCGTGGTTGAAGTTATAGCAGCATTGAAAAACATGACTTAATGACCATTTTTCACACTTTTGACTAGTAGCATCACCATGGTCACCTGATCAAGATTTGAATGCTTGGCAGCTGACTCATGAGCTTTGCAGTGTCTTGGGGTAATGTGACCATATTTTGCAACCTGACAAAGTGGGGAAACACAACTGTGCTATTAACCACTGCATGATTTATTTAACAACTCTGGCAAGGAAGGAGGTAAAAGGGGGCAAAACTTACTTAACAATGGTCTTTCAACAGAAAATTTTGGCTCAATTGTCATAAATTGAACGCTACCTATACAAGGATATACCGTATATGCCGGCGTATAAGACGACTTCCGGAAGTGCTAAACTCGGCGCCAAAGATGGGGGTCGTCTTATACATCGAGTCGTCTTATATGCCGGAAATACTGGTAGTTTCCGGCATATAAGACGACGTTCTAGGAATGCGGCTTGGCGACAAAGACGGGGGTCGTCTTATACGCCGGGTCGCCTAATACGCTGGCATATACGGTATTTATTTTTTGGGTCAGTGATGACTGCTTGGACAACGTTCCTACAGTTTTCTTAGCAAGATTTGGAAGTGGTTTACCATTTCCTCTTTCCTAGGCTGAGAGAGAGTGACTGACCAAAAGCCATCCAGTTGGCTTTATGCCTAATGTGGGACTAGAACTCAGAACTGCCTAGTTTATAGCCTGATGCTTGAACCACTACACCAAATTTGCTCTCTAGCAAATATAAAACTTTATACAGTAGTTTAGATACAGCAATTTGACATCTTTTACAAACTCGCCTTGTCACATGACGTGTCGTGATGTAGCGTGATTTTTCGCATTGCAGGAGCTGGGGTGGGCGTGGCTTCCGTATGATGCAGCCAGCCCATGGGCCCGCAGTTTGACACCCCTGCTTTAAATGGTCAAATTGCCGTAGATTGAATTTTAGACAGTTTAACTTAGTAAATCATGGTTAATAAAGATTGATAATATCTATAGAATACCGTTTTCTAGAACTAAATTCAAAAATCAAAGCTAATGATGTAAGTTGATGAAAAATACGTGATGAATATTTTACTATTAGAAAAATGATTACAATTGTTCCATTGCTTTCAACATGTTTTAAAACAATGACAATATCTTATTTTAGTCATTGACCAATAAAAAAATAGAATCAATAAAATGAACAACAGAACTATCCCCTGCACAAAAAAACATTTATCAACCACTTGTGAGCAAAGCAATGTGATATAATTGTAAAAAAAATAATAATCCAGAGATTGTCACGACTCTGAATTTTTAATCCTGGCATCCTTATCATAAACACAGATGTTTAAATCCCACTAGTTACAAATCTAGGCAGCACACATACACAACATCGGGTTCTTTGAATTGATTATTTTATTTTATTCTGTGGACTGTAACAAGACTAATCAACTGTAAAGAATCCAGATTAGATTCTAAAGATTAGAATCCAGGATATGGTTAGGGCCAAAACCAACTTTTTCCATTACTGTAACCATTTTCACACTAAGCACATTCCTGATTTGACTGGAGATTGCTGTGTTCTATTCAAAAATGGCATAGGATTGGTGGTGGAACTGGGTCCAAATAATGCCTGCCTCTGCTTATCTCTGGTTCTTTGAGATGGCTGCATTTGGGAGTTAGATCAGCTAAAGCAGGGGTCTTCAAACTCGGCCCTTTTATGACTCATGAACTTCAACTCCCAGAATTCCTCAGCCAGGCACGCTGGCTGAGGAATTCTGGGAGTTGAAGTCCATGAGTCATAAAAGGGCCGAGTTTGAAGATCCCTGAGCTAAAGCATCCTTTCAGAATTCTATCATTTCAAATAGCGTTTTAGTGGGCTTTTTTTCCCTAAGCCAAAACTCCTCTCAGTCTCGCTTAACTAAATGCAATAATCCTTTCTTCTCTACAATTATATATATATAAAAACCACCCTGCTTTTTGTAGTTGTATTCAAAAGTGTGATATGGAATGACACTGAAGATCTTGGAGCTAAGATCTCAGCTGCTTCTTAATCACATTTATTTTTCTCAGTAGCTTCATTCTATCTTATCTCACATTCTCCCAAGTTATCCATGGAGTTTAAAATTATGTACAGGTAGGATTTCCGAAAAAGTCAATCCTTTTTCAGCTCTGGGATTTATTCTTTGTTGGACAGCCAGTCTTAGGATCCCTCCACCTCATGCTGTCTTGTATTCTTGCTCTATTATCAGCATATTGTGATCACATGCAAAAGAGCTGTAAAAGGCCTTTTCATTGCGCAAGGCAGGTTCTTTTCAATTTTATTTAGTCAAGATTCATCTACTTCCTCATACAGTTTCAAAATCTACATAATACACTACCTCATTTTGAATGCGGACTTCACAACTTCTTTGGAGTAAGGGAAAATACGGCTGACTCACTTCTATATGGAATCGACTGGAAGCTGGATTAGGTATATGTGCATTGGGATACTATTTAAATAGCTACTGCACTCTCTATCTTAGTGTTCTCCAGATTTATTTGTCTACATCCCCCACTATTTCCAACAATAGTGGTTGGGGATTATGAGAACTGCAGTTTTACAAAACAGGAGGCATGTCGGAGAACATTGATGTAAGACTGCTTATTTCCTTTTCTTAGCTTTCATTTTGTCCCTTTCATTTTGTTTCATCTTGTTCCATGTTTATGTCTGTCTTTTAACTTTGCACCAAGTACCTGAGGTATGGAAGATGTATTTTATTAAACTCTATGAATGGATGAATTGGGAGACGTGACAGCCAGAGTAGTGCAGGAAGTCTGTCTCTACAGTCTAAGCTTTGTCATCAGATAATATACCCTAGATACTATGACCAAATCAGAGTTTTCAGAATATCCAAGTTGGAAGGGACGCTGGAGGTCCAAACCCCTGCTCAAGAAGGAGACCCTATACTATACTATTTCAGAGAGATGTCTGTCCAGTCTCTTTTTGAAAGCTTTCAGTGATGGAGTGCCCACAACATCTAAAGGCAAGTTATCCCACTGGTTGATTGTCAGGAAATTTCTCCTTAGTTCTAGCTTACTTCTCTCCTTGATTAGTTTCCATTCATTGCTTCTTGTCCTGCCTTCAGGTGCTTTGGAAAATTGTTGACACCCACCCCCTCTTCTTTGTGGCAGCCCTTCAAATATTGGAACACTGCTATCATATCTCCCCTAGTCCTTCTTTTTACTAGACTAGCCATACCTAATTCCTGCACCTGTTCATCATGTTTTAGTCTCCTAAAACAGATCCCTAATCATCTTTGTTGCTCTTCTCTGCACTTTTTCCAAAGTCTCAAAAAGCTTCTGAATTCTGTTTGTCAATGTGACCTTTATCTCCTAAGTTTCCTTTCCTCTTTGACTTTATGCTCCTTGCCAATGCTGCATATGACTTTTTGAAAGTGGAATGGCTTAGATTTGGGGGGGGGGGAGGTGTCTCTGATCTTTGGGATATTTGTAAGTATGATGTGATGGAATGTGCAATTGGAGAATAAGGGGGAGGGGAATCTTGGCAATTGCAAGGTAGCTTCCCAGGGAGAAGACAACACATTTCCAAAAGAGGGCCCCACAATAAGAGATTGTGCAGTCCTGAACTGGATGAGGGAGGGAAGGGAGGAAAAGATTCAGGATAGCACACCCTAGAATCTTCCAGGATATATTTAAAGTTAGAAGGTTGTAGCTTTAAACTGATAAGATTATGTCAATTAGGTATCAGAAAAAAAAACTGGACTCAATTGGATTTCATTCACCTTCAAGCTTAGGCCCCACATATCCCATGTCATTAAGCTTATGGAACCAAACAACAATGGACATTTTCCAACTACAGTTCGAGTAGAATACATTGTTTGCAAAAAGTTGCATCAGACAGAACTATTTGCATAAGTTCAAGGAAAAATAGAAAATAATTGAACACTTTGGTTCAACGGCAAAGATAAACTAAACATAACATAATAAATCAAAATTGAAGCAGTTTTAGTGAGCACAGGTCAAATTTAAACTAACTGCAACAGCACAAAAATTATAATGAATATATTAGATGCATTAATGTATTAAAACTATTAAACAAAAGGGCCTAATACACTTTTGGCTAAGCTGCAATCCTGTACTTGCTTTTAACCAGGACAGAAATAACAAGTTCTGTGCAATTAACAAAAAAAACTGCATAGTCTCTCATTATGCTACAGTTCAAAAGGAATACAGTAGATGACTAAAACATTGGAATAGAAGATCCAATGTGAAAAAAATAAGCGAAGTGGTTTGATGAAACTAGTAGGCAGAATAATTGCTTGTGAATACAGTATTTGCAAGGGGGAGAAGTTAAGACTTTATAGGCTATTATTGATAATTTTTTTGCAATCAGGGATGAATGACAGCAATTTTAAAACACACACCAGAGAATGTCTATATTGAACTAT